GGGTAATATCAGATATTTGGATCTAAACAATATATAGGCCTGGGATACATACATGGTGGTAATGCAGTAGTAACTATTGTAGATAATGGTGTGAACACAGGATGTGATGTAATAAATACGTAATTGATACTTCTTCATTCTCTACATTAGTTACTACTTTGTTAAAATCATGTATCCACCACTATTTATTATTATTTATTTGTTTCATACATAACATGTATGTACTTTGTAACACATAATAGCTGAGAAGCAAATTTGGTCAATCAAAAATTATGTTATATAGTTCATAATTATTTGATATTAAATTTTAAACAATGCTAACAGTTCACTATAGTACAGGCTGTTGCATTTTTTCTATTGTTGTATACTATAAGTCCAGTTCTTGCAAATTAGATTACGATTCCTCTGGTATTAGTCCATTGTATGAAATTACCAACGGTAGCATTCGAATTTCCTTTAAATCATACAATTGTTTCAATTCATATGCTTCCTTTTTTTTTTTTCCCCAAGGCTATTTTGCACATGTTATTGTCTGATGGAACTCCAGTCTTTATAACAAATACTATTTTCTTTTCTTTGTCTATTATTAGAATGTGATGCATATTGCAAGAGATAGTAGCAATTTATGAAGTTCATCTTCTCTGAGGTATAGATTGGTGCACTACTTTCACTGCATTATGTCTCATCAAGTATTCCTTAATCATAAGTATTGTACATCCCGAAGTTATTTGCTATTGATTCCTCTTCCTTTTTGTGTAGGCAACATACTTCACTTATGCTCTCTGCAATCATGTTTTCTGTATGTCCATGTATCTAATATTCTTTTCTTAGATAGCTTACAAAAATCCTTCGATCTTAAAATATTACTATATTTAAGTAATGTTAACGATGATAGAATTGTCCATGCAGTGTGGTTTTTCATTTCATTTTTAAGTTTCTGTAGCATAGCTTGGATCACTATTTAGGGTCTCAGCACTTAGTATATTTATAGCTGTGTAATTTTCATCTTGTGATGCAATTGTTAAGAGAATGTTATAGGTATAACTTCTGATATAAGCAAAAAGGTTATATCTTCTTCCTAAGAAGATTTTTAATACACATTATTTTCTTACTTCTGATGATTTAACTGAATATCTTTTCATATATCAGTTTTAATTGAATTCATTATGCCAAAAGAGTAAGTTAACGCTTGTATTGCCCAAGTATTCTATGCTCTAATTATATTTCTTCCATTTAAACCAGATTTTAGCACTAATTTAATATTTACTCAAATTCTTCCTTGAAGAATCCCTTTGCATTGCTCTTGAATTTCAGTCATCGATACATTCCTGTATATTTGTAATTTGTGTTTATATTTAATAATGTGCAACTAATGATCAAGCCATGAACTGCATAGAAGTCAATGGAGCCTCCATCTATTCTCATTTGTATTTTTACTTTCCCTTACGTATATATGTAAAGTTGTAGAAGGTAACAGAGAGTGGCAAAAAAAATTATAAATAATAATTTTTGAAAACTAATAATATTTAACGTAAATCACATGTTTTCAAGGATATAAATGAAATTTACTAACTAAATGCAAACTTTTAAAATATTTTCAAGTTTGAAAAAAGTATTTAAATCCACCTAATCAAGGCCATGACATTGTTTAAAAAACTATTTCATTGTACTTGTGTGAAAGAAGAAGTAAACTATAAGATCATTTCGTGGATGTATAAAGCATATGTTTATAACCTTAAATACATTTACTGTAGTTTAATAATTCTAGATCTGATATTATATTTAAATAATTAGGTATCAACGTCCATTTATTCCGAAATATTGTCATGTAACTTTTTAGAAAATTAAATTAGTGAATAGTTCAATGAAATTTCCTTTTGTGATATTCCAAAAGTATCCACTTACAGTTAGTGTGACAACTTTTGACCTGTCTATGACAGACAATGCAAATCCAACATGACCAGAAAAAAATTTCTATTCAAAGTTGAGCAGAAGTGAAAGTTGTGTGTTGTGCGCACCACATTTTCATGTTAGCTAAGGACTCATGATGTTAGGCAAAATATAGTTTCTTGGCCGAGTTGTACATTGAGGTTTCCTTGGACAATCTTGGTATCAATTCTATAAGCCTCTGAGGGTGTCTCCTAATGCATCTTAAAATGTATCCTCATTCTCCCATCCGACGCAACTTCCATTGGTGCGTGGCAATTTATTAGAAAGATACCAAAAAAACTTTCCTTGGCATAGGTAGCGTAAGCATGGGAGAATAGGCATGAACTTTTCAGTTTCTCTGACCTGTGACATTTCTCATGGTAACAATAGTATATGGTGTGGTATCACTTTTCAAGCAAAATAACCAACGAACTTCTTGGATCCCTGCTATGTCAACTTGATATTTGTCTATTTATGTGAGGAGTGCCCGAAGGGCTTCTAGTCGATGGAAAGATTAAACATTCCAATAGACAAGTCGTACGTATGTCATTCTTGAAGTTCTTGTTCTATTCCTGAAAATCAATCCAACTTCTTTGCTTTGTAGTGGTTTCTTGATAATATAGCTTAGGAGATGGAGTGGAATATCAAATCATTTAACTTTTTTACACAATTAGCGGTTAAACTCAACTTATTGACAGCAAATATCAATTTAATTAATATGTACTTAAAGCTCATTAAACAAGAAAGTTTTTTTAAAAGTGGAATTTTGTCTTTGGGCCAGTTGGAGGTTAATGAAAAATAATCTGTAATTTTATTAAGATCAAAACTTAGTGTGGTTTAGCCACTTTAAAATTCCCTTTACATGATTTCAACAAACTCTACTTGCTTTAAAAGAAAATTCTGTTTTAGTTACTATGAAACAATTGTTAATTATCTAAATTAAATATATTTTTTATGGCTTCTTAACTGGCTTGTTTAAAAAAACAACACAAAACTTAAATTTCCTGATTTTCTGTAGAAAATCAGACTTAAGGTTTATATAAACTTTTTTGTAGCTTTTGAGGTCTCCTATCATCTCTGTAATTATTTCTGTTTACGTACAGTACACCTTGTATAGGTAATTTAAAGTCAAAATTGCATTCTATTTAGAAAATATTTTTAAATGAGCACAAATAATTGGTTTCTTTTCATAATGATTTAATTTAAAAATATATTAATTGAATATCCAAATAAATTCTGTTATGAGAAATATAAAGTATTTCTTTATAATAAAAGAATAATAAACCTTGAGAAAGGCTTTATTCCGCAATAGAACAATCCAATGCTTTAAACTAAACATATGTTCATAGTCTTTTAAATTGTAAAGAATTAAATGATGGTTATATAAATTACAATATGTGTGATATTTATGAACAACTATTGCTCAACAAATACAAATTAATAGACATTATTAATGCCATGACATTGACCTCCTTCCTAGTAGGAGATATATATAGTCCTCAAAATAGAGCAGAGTTTTTATATTTGAAGAACTTCTTCAAAGCTGTACATAGCCTTCCTCATTGGGAGAATAGTGAGTGCCAGAACAGGGTTGGAGCTTCTTGGTTGTATTTTCTATAGCGGAAGTTTTCTGGACTCAGTATAGTGTAGTTAATGGCCATCAAGAGAAGTTTGGTTATCTTGTATTCCTTGAGGATCACTCAGTGTATATTGAATGGGTATAATGAGCCTTAGAAACTGTAGTCTCTTCCAGAGCAGAATGAATGGGCGCAAGGTGTCTGTTAGAAACAGTAGTCTCTCATCTGTGAACCTGATGCGTTAATACTTCGGTTTTTCTTCTAAAAGGTTGACTGCTTCAGTCAGTGTGTAATACTTTGACTGACAAATAGGTCACCTCATGAGAGTTGGTCCGGGTTCCATGAGCTTTGAGTGTGTAGTATTACCAACTGATGATCTTGACAAGCTTGAAATCCTTTCATGACATGTTGCACTAGTTCGAGTGCATAAAAGAGAGCAAGTTGATCCAAGGTCATCTAGATAGTCTTCTTTCCATTTTGAGTAGTCCAGTTGTTTGTTTGTAAGAGCCAATTCTATTGTCGTTCATATAATATAGACATAACTCTCACCTTGCCCATTTTCTTGAGGATTTTATGCTGTTGTTTATTTGCTCAATTCATTTAAGAATGATTTAAGTTCTAGTGACATAATACTTATTCCATGGTCTGTGTGAATGTTTGCTGGGGGGGGTCCCAAGAGTTAAAAAAAATTCTCTGAGTTTGATGATGACATTACATGCTAAAATACCTTCCCGTAGTATGAGTATGACTAATATTTTAATAACAGCTTGCTTATATTAGAAGATTGTGGCCTGTCTATAAATGCATCTCTTGTATTTTCATCTCTGTTCACATCAGCAGTTATTGCTAAAAAATTACAATCTCTGAACAGGCAATTTAGGGCTGCAATATAATTTTCTATAGTTTCGCCAGGGACTTCAGACGAGCAAGAATTTCATTTACGGGCTTCACGTATGTATTTTCAAGAATGCTAAGAGCATCTTAAAATGTTTCACAGTCACTAATTAGTTCATAAACATGAAAGTAAATAAAATTGGTCATTACCTTTAATTTGTCAGCTTCAGGTACTAAAGCGGAAGACAAGAAGTTTTGAAATGTTCTGAACCAATGTTTCCATACCTTCACTGCTTTCTCATCGCTTGGATCATTTGAAAATCTCTCAGGCTTAAGTATATAATATAATAATGTCGGTTTATTTAATTTTAATCTTTTATGAAATAAATTGAAATAAAACAATGATCAACCTTTTGAATTAAACAAAAGTTCATAGCCTTTTTTGTCATATTAAATTGAAATTAATTTATTAAGAATTAAATGATGGTTTTGTACACTACATTGCGTGTGATATTAATGATCCACTATTTCTCAACAAATACGTATTAATAGACATATACATATTAATTCTGTGACATTCTTATTATGAAAGTTTGATGTTACTCTAATGGATATATATATATATATTTAATCTAACTTTTATATTATTATTTCAGGCAAATGGCTCAATTTATTAAGAAAAATATTTTTAATACAGAGTTGAATGCTGACTCTGTTGAGTGGTGTCCTATTAAAAATTATAGAAAGTTTTTTATTTGTGGCACATATCAGTTATCTAAGTCTGAAAACTTGAAAGATGCCAAAAAAAAGAATCCTAAGGAACTGAGAAAGGGTCATCTGTATTTGTTCCAATTAGTTCAAGAACCAGAAATTTTTAAACTTGTTGAACGAATTGCTATGGTAGGTATTCTGGACTGTAAGTGGGCACATAGACCGATTGCCAACAATATTTTTCTTGCTATTGCTACTGCACTTGGGGATATTCGAATTTTTAAACTCCAAGGTAATTATATATTAAATAATATATATTAGAAAACATTACATAATTATAAAATATTTTTTAGGATATAAGTTGTAGTAGACATCCCCCCGTATTTACTCCTTTAGTTAACATTATTTGAGGGAATGAGTAGGAATATATAATATATAGGAATGTGAGGTTGCACTGTGAATTGTACTCAATTGTGCAGTGGAAAAATTGCTCATTGGAAAATCTCATATCGATAAACAATCGAAAAGAAGAAAAAAGGTCCGATCAGGTAGCAGCAGCTGGAAGAGGATGCCGAACACTTAAGGCCTGGACACCAACACAAGAAGACGTCATCTGGGAAGAGAGGCTTACTACATTGAAGACCAAGAATATCAAGCCGACCGTTCACTTATATATATTCATTATCAGTTGTTAAAATAAATTTGTTTTGTTAGACAGGAGTGAATAGTCACTTTATTTAGTTGTCCTATAGGCCTCACAATTGAAGATTAAACCAGGTGAGTCAATTCATTCAAAGTGTTTACTAAGTCGTCACATTTCATATATGTATTCTTATCGTTTCTTCTCACACAGTGTCACAAAAGTATTATATTCCCAACAACAGTTAAACACCCTCAAAAAAGTGTATATCCAGTGCCGGGATTTTGTTTTAATAATTCACGAATGTAAATAACCTATAACCCCGACGTAAAAGCGGAAGGCTATTCCCTATTCCCGCCAAAACTAATCATTTACAATTAACTTTCAATAGGTTATTTACAAAGTGGAAGACTCCAAGTATGACTAGAGTCTCTAAAAGTATAGTAATCAAATAATCAATCAAGTTTTATTAGTTAACGGGAAAGAACAAACAAGATTACATCTGTGCAAAAAAAAATATAGTACATCTCACATCAACAAATATAGTACATCTCACATCAAAGAACAAAAAAAACATCAACTGTTTCTAGTTGTCATTTTTTTTTTTTTTAGGCTTTAGATGTGTTATACTCATATGTTTACATTTTTCAGTGTATGTGATACGATCTGTGACGTAATCCAATAGAATACACTAACAACTCTTCATTATGTATATTTTTTTATCAGTAATATATATATATATATATATATATATATATAAAATACAAAAATCAACAAATTTGTATTTTCTAAACGGGAAATTACAGCATGGTTTGCCAGTGCCTCTTGCATTAACATGCAACTACTCAGCTACATCACCCTCCTCCCCTCCAATGACTTTGTTGTGAAAACGGACTGGAAGCCCGACTTGTCTCCTACTACCAGTGGTTGTTTCAGGAACTTGGCGGTTCAGTCATTCAATGCATTATCCTTGAATATACTTGGAATGTCCAGCTGGCTGGAACTTGAGTCTTGATATTGTAGCAAGAACGCTGGCTTCAATCTATTGATAGTCACGGTTTTGCCCCTCTTCAGAATCTTATAGGAACCAGTATATGGGAATGAGTGGCCGCTGGACCATGTCATCCCGGAAAACAACTTGGGAGCTCGATAACAAATCCGGGCGAATGAATGTCTGATGGGTGATCAGCCTGAGACTCTAATTACTCCCTAAGGTTCCGAACAAACTCTTTCGTATTTTGCCATAGTGTAGTCTTCTCTAAAGGTAGTCTTAGATATTCGCAAACAGGAGACGAACAGTGAACTGGCTGTTTCCATATGCTTGTGTTGTTTTTTTTTCTTAAGAAACAATAATTTGTGTCTGTTTAGACATTTCACAAACTAAAAAGTACAAATATTTAAATGATTGTTTCTCTATTTTAGTGTTTGTCTCCTTGTTTTTATGTTTTGCATCTCCTGTGGGAAACAGGAAAACAAGAGAAATCAAAACGGGTAGTTCGGCTTTATCGTTAGTGTCACAATTAATTAGACAAATTAAATAAAAAATTTCCTATTTGTATTGTTTTATCAATGGGACATGGATGTTAATTAAATTATTTGAAGGTTTAGGAATCATTTTGAAAATGGGAGACTGGAGTAACTAGGACATTTTATTGGGTGGATCGATAAGTTTGTTTGGTTTTTGAAGGGTGAAATAAAAAATGTTTTTTTTTCATACAAAGAATAAATTTTATTCTATTATATATTTGTCCTTTTTATTAATGACCTCTTGCCATCATTCTGACAATTTCATTATTCCACGCTCGTTAAAAATCTGGGTCTTAGAAGCAAAAAACTGATCGAAATACGTTTTCACATCTCTCTCTCATCAGCAAACGATTTCCCGTTGAGGGATTTTTGGAGAGACCAGAATAAGTGGTGGTCGGATGGTGCAAGCTCTGATGAATGAAGTGGATTTAATAAAACATTCCATCCAAGTTGCACTGACTTTTACTGTATGATTATTGTGGAGTGTGTTCTGGCATGCCATGGTGGAATACAACACTTTTGCTATTGACTACTTCTGGCTGTTTCTGTCGTAATGTTTGGTCCAGTTTCGTTAGCTGCATGCTGTAGATCTTCGAATCCATCCTTTTTCCTTGTGGAAGCAACTGGTAAAACAGAATGCTGCAATATTCCCATATGGAGATGAATATAGTTTTCCGCCCTTCGGAGTGGTATTAGGGGGCCCTCAGCAATCAGTCTGCAATCTCCTGTCCACTACATTGTTGCAGATGATCCACCCGTCCCTATTCGATTGAGAATGGTTCCGTTCTGAGCCGGTTGAAAAGAGAGTTGCAGAATGATATTTGGTTGGAAAGATTTACCTCAGTCAATTTTTGTGACCCCCAAACATAGGGATAGGGCACGTAGCCAAGCTGTTTTAAATGTCTTTTCAATGGTTCCAAAACATATTTTCAGTGTCCCCACAATTTCTCGTGCCTGTAGCGACCAGTCTTGTTCGATTAGAGTCTTGATATCACTCGAATCAATCTCGGTGGGGCGAAGGCTGCGGGTTGCATCTTTGAGGCTCGTATCTCTGGAACGAAATTCGGCAAGCCATTTTTGACCAGTACGTTCTGTTAAGGCATCGTCCCCTTATACCGTATATCTTTTAGTGGACCTGAATCTGGACTGAAGCTCACTTGCATTTTTTGGAATAAAAAAGCATGAATACCAAAAATGCACTTTATCATTTGACATATTTACTACGCTGTAGCACAAACAAAACTAATACTTTTGACGTCACCAACGTAAGTTCTCTAGGTATAGATTTTTAAAATGATATTGTTTCAGTTTTTCCCGACTCTTATTCCAAAACCAATCAATTAAATTTCCTTTCTTTATCTAATTTAAGATTTATTATCTATTGATAGTATTATAAATCTTCAAAATTCACTCAATACTTAACTTTAGAAAAATAATATAGTTAAGAGATTTTGGAATATGGATTTCAATATGTGATGTCATAAAATCATCTATAATGTCTATGGTGTTTATTTTAAATTTCACATTGTGGTAACTTTAATATACTTACCTATAGGTATTATGGCGTCGAGTCATATTTTCTATATTTTTAACATACTCTATAAAATTAAATGATAGGCTAAAAATATTTTCTAGAAATCCTACTTTATTTTATCATAAAGATTTTGTATCTGATATATAGCATTTGCCTTTGATTCCTGATACATTTCGCCCCATTGTACGTGTGTAAAAGAAGAAGTAAAATATAAAATCATTTCATGGATATATAAAGCATATGTTTATAACGTTAGATACATTCACTATAGTTCTTACTAAATATAAAGTTTTAAAAAAATTAAATTAGTGAATAATTTGATGGATTTTCTCTTTGCGATATCCCAACATTATCCACTTTCAATTAGTGTGACAACTTTTGACCTGTCTATTACAGGCAATGCAAATCTCATAATTCCGTTTTAGTAAACTTCGCAATGTAAAAAAACAGTTTAATAACTAATAGTCGTACAATCCATAATCAATGGATCGTACAATCCATAATCAACTGGTGATATAATAAATAGGACTTTTGTTATTTTAATGGTATTTTAGATTGTTAGCTGTAATCTTTTAGCTTTAACTCTGTTAAAAATGTAATTGAAAAATTTTATAATGGCCCAACATGGCCAGAAAATAATTTCTATTCAAAGTTGTGTGATGCTTGCACCAGATTTTCATGTTAGCTAAAGACTCCTGATGTTGGGCAAAATATAGTTTCTTAGCCAAGTTGTGCATTGAGGTTTCCTTGGCCATGTTGGGCCAAAAAATAATTTCTATTCAAAGTTGAGCAGTAAGTGAAAGTTGTGTGTTGCACGCACCAGATTTTTTTCTAGTTTTAATAGAAGAAGTATGTGATCAGAGTACGTTTCATTTAAAATGATAAACTGATTTACAAACTTTAAGCAATCTATATACGACATAAACAAATCTATTGCCTAAACTAAACTAATCTCCATTAGTTTAAATATAAATCAGTTCTCCCTTCTCATCTCCTTTGGCTCTTCCATTTAGTATTACAAGTCCATGATCATCACAGAACTCCACAAATTTATGCCCTTTCCCATCATCTTTTCTATCTTCCAAATTCGAATTTATATTTATCAATTCAGTTTCGATAATCTTGCTAATCAGTATTTGTAAATTCCCTGTATGCACGTTACAGTCACCAATAAGAAATACTTTATTAAGCTGTTCTGGTATAAGTATTTCTACCAACTTCTATATGTATCATTGTTCATTTTCCCAAAAGTTAAAATTTAGATACAAAGCTATTAACAAAGTGGTCCCGTCCCTGTTTTTAATTTTTACAGAAATAAAATTTCCGATAATTTCTAACTCAGCTATTTCTGGATATAATTTTGATTTGATTCCACAAAGCAGGCCACAGCTACCTCCCCCTTAGTTATGTTTTTTTGTAGCAGGCACCCAAATACTTTAATATTGCTGAATAAATTTTCGTACCTCGATATCTCCTCCCTTAAAACTAATGTCTCTGCTAAAAATATTATATCAAAATTATTTAAAAAATCTGAAAAATAATAATCATTCTTCTTACTTACAAGGCCATTAACATTATAAAACAAAATATTAAGTATATTAGAACTAAAATTAAATTTATCCTTAACTAAATTATAGTTAAAACCTTGACAGAAGAACTCTGCCCAGTCTTGTTTATTTACTGCTGCATGTTGCTTGTTGTCATCGGCTAATCTTCTGCCCCTGAGGAGACGACCCACAAGCTGATATAATTCCACACCAGTCAGTGCCTCCAGTGAGCTTAAGATCTCCGTACATTCGTGAAGCAAGCCTTCTGTTTCTGACCACATACAAATTTTATCATTCAATAAAAGTTTATCTCCCCTTACGTTGACTATACAGTCCTTATTTCCTATATTATTCCTAATTTCTCTTCTTAATAAAAGCAGCTTGGATTGTTTTATTCTACTGCTCACGGTAGGGTCCCGATTAATGTTGATATCACTGTTCTTTAAATTCCTTGTATTGTATAATATGTTTTTCACAACAGTGTTTGTTTGGAATCCCACCATTAGCGGCTTATTTTTTAATTTAGGTATCCTAACAAGTATATATCATTAATTTTAGCATCTTCTATCCTTAATACATTTTTTCATAAATCTTTTACTGCAATATTGGCTTCTTCTTTACTTTCAATATTCAGACCTTTAAATATCTGATATTGCTCCCTGAATTTATTTTTAAAATTTTCTATTTTTAATTTTGTTTCTGCATTTTCTTTGTGAATGGGTATTATCTCTTGCTTGAGACTTATATTTTCGAGAACATAATCTTTTATCTTATTCTCCAATTCATTTGTGTCTGATTTCGTTGCCAGATTTTCAAACTTTTCATTTAGCTTCTTGTCTAACAGTTCCGAAATTTCATTTAGGAGGCTTCTGTATGTATCACTATCCATTTTTTGTAAAGGTTTCAGGTTTTGGATCTTTTTAGTTATTTTTCTTGCACTTTAAATTCCAGTGAAGATTTACTCTTTCTTGCTATGAGTAAAAATCTTTGTTACAGGTCTGTTATCATCACCAGGCATTAATATTGATGCTGCACAGGTTATAACCGACAGGTTACAACAACCTAAAGTCATCTTTAAGTATTTAAATTAATTTTCTACTTACTTATTTTAATGGTATTGATTTTTTGTACAACTAAAAATGTATATAAGTCTACAACCCGCTTTTTCCGTTCAATTGTATCCTTGGACCACCAATAATCACTCTTTTTATTCACTAAACACAGAGCAGCCATTCATTATGGTGGTTAAGCGAACACTGAGTTTGGTTAGGAGGATATTGGGATTGAACTAATTGTTCTAGAGGTTTGGAAAGGTAATAGTAGGGATATTGGACGCAAATCATTCGGGGTTGCAGGATTAGAGGTTTTATTCAGCAGACGAACAAAGGCAGTTTTGTAGGTGTTGGGTAAAGTGGAACTTGGTAACAAGAAATTACAAATATGATCAACAATAGGAAGAATGGATGGAGAGAAGTGAGGGTTTAATCAATTTAACCAGGATGTTATCTCGTCCCAGTCCCTTTCTGGTTCTCCAACAGTGTTTAAATTCCTAATTTCTAAGATAGTTTCCTCTAATTTATCTTTTTATTTGGATAACAAACTCTTTAATTTTGGAACCAAGAAATAACAAATTTTATCCTCTTTTGACCTTGAATTTAACTGACTAGGATAATATGAGTTGACAGACAACTAGGTTTGTGTATAATAGTTCATTTATCATAGAGAAATGGTTTTAAGTAACTGACACATAATAAAGATATAAATTTATAAAATACAAACATTCAATGAAAACTAAAACAGACTAAATAATTTTAATATAATTTGGGGGCGGGGTGGCCAAATATGCTAATGCGTGTGCACAGCAACGCGGTTGCCCGGCTACCAGATTACCAAAGTTATGAGAGATTAAAAAAGTACGAGTTCACGTCCCAGTGCCAGAGGAGATTTTAAATTCCCCCCCCCCCAGGAAAACCCCGTATAGCCTAAAAGGCGAGATAGGGAAGAACAAAAAAAATGTTTAATATAAATCTATATCTATTTGGTTATTTATTTCTGTTCACAATTTTTTTTTCAGCCTATTGTTTAATTTTTTAAAATATTTTTTCTGTTTTTTGAAATCTCTTTTTATTACCCAATATATTATTTCATAAATACTTAACCATAAATTATTTATTGTTTTAGATGAAAGTACAGTTTCATTAAAACATGTATGTACTCATAAATTAAGTTCAAGTAAAACAACCATAGCCTTATCCTTGGATTGGTCAACTGGTCTTAATGAATCAGATGTGAAAATTGTTATAAGTGATTCTGAAGGTTTTATTACACTTGTATCTTTTGCTGATGGTCAATTATGTGAAGATTGTAAATGGAAACTCCATGATTTTCATGCTTGGATTGTTGCATTTAATTATTGGAATACTAATGTATTTTATTCAGGTATCTTTTAATCTAAGAATATTTCATTTTTAAGACCTTAATATATAATGTATTATACAAATAATTTTGAATTGAGAAATTATAAGAGAACGTGGGAGGCGCCTAGAATGGCACTTTTTTCAGGTTTTCACTTATATCAAGAAAACTATCCATCACAGCGATAAAGACGTTGTATACAAAGTTAAAGCTTATAAAATTTACAATATGATTGATTCTATAACTTTTTAAAGTGAAAACTTTTTTAGGGGCGTTTTGCACTTTTTTGTGGAGAGTGAATTAGATTGATCCGTCTAATTTCTAAAGTGTTAATGCTCAGGTAGTCGGTTACCCTAATTGAAATGTTTTTACATATCGATTGAAATATCTCAGAAACTAAAAATTAGTCCTGCATAATGTGAGCAAGAAAATTGTTCAGCATTTCATCCTCTCTGTAATAGGCTATAATTCAAAATTGTATCTTACGTTGACGCCGTATTAGGAAGAAGGCGAAAAGGAAAAAAATGGTGTAGAAATCCAAATGATAACGAATGAATTGGTTGAACCTATGGATTAAAATATTTCAGATATTAAAAATCAGACCTGTATACTGTAAGTGAGGGAAATGTTCAGCTATTATTCAAAATTGTATCTTAACCCAACACTGTGTTAAAGAGTAGGAGAGGGAAAAGGATAGTGTCCAAAACCAAAGGATAATGAGTTTATGCTAAATATTGTACAAATGCTAATATTATTACAACATTAAAATTTAATTTTGACAACATTATTAGCAATATAAAAAAACCGTCATCCAAGTAAGGTTAGTATAGCTTCCTCACCGTTTTCATTTGCTAAAAAAAATCTATATTAAAAGGTCTAAAAATTTTCTTATGAGAATAAAATCTCTGGAAGAAGCCGTTTTTGGAAATTCAGTAATTCCTTGACATATACGGGCTTAATATCCATGATTTTTGTTATTAGCAAATACTAAAATGCGAAAAAGTTCCACATTTGCAGATTACATATTTGAAAATTCATAATAAAAAAATAAAAAAAATTCCAGTGCATACTGAATATGTACCTCGCTACTGTTAGTGCAAATGACCTATATAAAAGTTGAGTGTTTTACAGGAGAGCATAAAAACTAATTATTTTTTTATGATTTATTAGTATAATTTTATATTTTATTCCCCTCTGCTGTTTTTCATAGTAGGAGACTACTTATATCAATTGCAGACTACATAATGTCAAAAATAGAATAAAAATTGAAAACTTTTACATACAACCTTTGCACTAACAGTAGTGATATATACTTAAAAGATATGTTTTCACTCGTAAAATGGATGGAACAAAAAATCTATAGGAAAAATTCAACTTTTTGTTTGTTCGGATTTAATATGACCAATACTTTCTTCAGTCGGAACAAAACTAATTAAGCTGGAATATAAAAATATGAGTGAAGTTGACACAATTTTGATATTTAAAGAGAAAATAGAGACCAGGAAATAAACACAATCGCAAATCAGACTTTTTTTTATTTTATTTTTTTTACAATTACAGCATAAAAATTACTTTAAATTTACTGAAAATTACAATAAGTGTCAGACCAGTAACATTTGGAATCGACATACAATTCAGTATAAATTAACTCTTTGAATAAAACTAAAATTTGATCCTTGATGTTTGAAACGTAAAACACGAGTGGAAATTTTCAATTCTGAGCACAAAACTTTTTTTTACCTCTTGCAGGAATACAATGCTCCCCTACCTTCGGTAGGTAGGAAACAATAAGAAGAGAAATAATGTAAATGATAATAATAGCTGAAATTCTTAGGCATGATGGAAAATATATAACATTCCAACTGGAGACGTCCACATAATTATTATACACTCCTTGGATAAAAGATAAACTAATAAATATCACTAATTTAAATAAGTAAATTATTAATCATTAAGGACATTTTTAGATTGGTTTTCTATATTTTAAGTAATAGAACTTTTTTATTAACTTTAAAAATTTCTTACTGGACGAAATTAAACTAATTAATCCTAACTACTATGCTTGTATAACATAATAATACATAACTACAATAGAAGACATGGATTAGTAAAGTTACATAAAAGTGGCAGTCGACTTAGTCCTATCATCAGTAATATCAATGAAGAAACTGAAAAATTTGGCTAAATATCTCAATACCTCACTCAATAACCTAAAATCAGATAAACTATGATGTAAAAAACTCAATGGAGGTGAAGCAAATGCTTGAAAGAAAAAATAAAATGGAAAATAGGTAAATATTTTTTGGTCTGTTTTGATGTAGACAATTTATTTACCAATATCAACTTGAAAGATGTAATAAAAATTATTGAAAAATACTGGGATACAATGGAACCGTGTACCCAAATTAAAATTCTTAAATTGTATTTAGAGGTTGTCGAGTTACGCAGTGAGAATAAGAAGAGAAATAGTATAAATGATAATTGTTGTTGAGAAAGGTTAATAAATGTACTGACATCAATAAAACTTTATTAGTCGGCAGGGTGGCCGAATGGGCTAACACGTGTGCACAGCATAACCGTTGCCCAGCAACCTGATATAAGATTTATGATATGAAAATAGTAACGAGTTTGCCTACCGGTGCCAAGGCGTCTTTTAAATCCCCGCCCACACCCTCTGGCCCGGGAAAACCCCGTATAGCCTTAACAGCGAGGAAGGGGAGGACCCAAAAAAAATAAAACTTTATTATAAAATGCCAGCAATTACAAAGTGAGATGTTATTTTTTCACCAGGGACACATTTATAGGTTGTGTTAGTTGGTGGGAACCATGTTTTTATTCAATGTGACTCACGGATAGGTTACTGTTTATAATATTTAAAAAGGAAATGTAAAGTTTATTATTTACAGTAACAAATAAAATTATTATTTCTAAAACTAATGAAACATATTTCTACACAAAAGGCGAAAAATACCAAGTTTAATGAATGTTATAAACGGTTTTTATAAAAGAATAACACATTTTTAAATTAGAATTAAAAATTAATTAGAAGCAGTGTGGGTTATAATTAGGTATAAAATAAGTTAAATACAGTGTGTCAACAGTGCCATTCATTTTTTTTTTTTTTTATTACCAAAGGAAGAGATTAAACAAAATAATAGTGATGATATATCAATAAGTGAATTTTTTATTTTCAAATAATTCATTTATACTTTTAAATTTTATATCTATAAAATCTTCTTAGATTTTTAAGTATACATATATTTAAGAAGCAATTGTAACATATTTGAATTGAAAATTCATCTATCTGTAGCATGTCACGTTAAGCAATAATGATAAATGAAAAAAAAAAAAAATTAAATTACTATTTTCAAAGTAATTGATCATACTTTAAATCGAGATAGTTTTACCAATGAATATTCTAATACGTACAATATAATTATTAAACTTAATAAAATATTATTAATTAAGAATATTACAACAATAATAATAGACATAATGGAAAATAAAAAACATTGAATTTAAAAAAAAATGGACTATAGAAATTGGGAAATTCTATTTAACCTAAGAGGGTGTACTTCCGTATCTACACATCTTGGTAGATTGATAGGAAAATTGACAGCTACGAATATGTAAACTCGGTTTACTAGTCGGGTGCCTTTCACTACACATTATGGTTCCAGGCAAATTGATTTCGTCCCATGTATGTGCTTAAGTTTTGTTCAGGAGTGGTAAGCACCTGACTACTGCTCCCTCAAAATATATAGTATTCCACAGTTTTTGTAGTCGATTTTTTTATTCAAATATTTTTGAAGTGAAAACTTGTTACTGCATGTTTTGCACCTTTTTTATGGAGAGTGAATTAGATTTAGCCATCAGATCTACGATGTGTAACGCTCGGGTAAAGTCGGCTGGAATCGACTTATTAAAATGTTTTTGCATGTGGATTAAAATATCTCAAAAACTAAAACTCAGCCCTGCATATTTTTAGTGAGATAAATGTTCATCACTGTATTATCTTTGTAATGGTATATTATTCAAAATTTTGTCTTAACGTGCGTGATGCCACGTTAGAGAGGCAAAAAGGGAAAAATCGTGTCGAAAACCAAATGATAATGAGTTTTATTGAAGATATAGATTAAAATATCTTAGAAATCTGATCTGGTCCAGGTGAGGAATCCTTTCGAGAGTTTAAAGCGGTGAGGAATTCGCTCATGGAGAGGGGGACATTTAATGATTGTAATGCATTTTTAGTAATAACTATGAGAACTAATTCGGTATATTGTTTTATATTAAGAGAGTGTACTGAATAATTTAAAGATGAGGAGTTAGTACAGAAATGTTTTCCTAAGGTGTTCGCTAAAGTAACGGGGTCGTTTTGATATTAGTCGCGATATTTTTGGCAATTTATTTGAGGAGAATAACCAAAACCCATTATTTTCCTGATCTTTTGCCAGAAAACAACACTTGGTGTATTACAGCAAACTTTATTAAGAAAATGTTGCCATGATAATTTTTTGCTTTTTTTAATTACTTATCTCTCATTTTTTCTGGCAGATTTGTACATTTCTAACTTTTGAGATGATGACTGGCATAGAAAAAATGTTAATGCTTTTTTTCTGTCTTTTATTGCTTGGTCACATTCATCATTCCACGAAGGTACTGGGGAGTGGAAGCTATTCTTTGTGGTGTCAGATGTGGAACTAAATGGAATCTCTGCCTGAGACGCTAGGAGCAATCGATTATTTAGTTGAATAATTAGTCGATCAGCATCGGTCTGACAAATCAATGTCCGCAAGCTGAGCTATTTCTTGAAAAAGGGACCAATCAGCTTTTTTAATCAGTCATTTATTATGTTTGCTGGGTGAGAAGCCTTTATCGAGAGAGTTAATAATGATGGGGAAGTGATCGTTGCCATGTTTATCATTTTCTTTTCTTAATGGTCACTATTAAAATATTTTTCTTGTGCTATATTAGCTCTTTAAATTAATTATTTTTTGACATTTTAGACTTATAAATTTTTAATGTTCTAATAATTTGTAGGTGGTGATGACTGCCAACTGTTTATTTATGATAGAAGAAGTGACAAAGTTGGAAAAAATGATAAAGTCCATACTGCTGGTATAACAAGTATGCAAATGAATTTGAAAAAGGAACATTCTCTCATTTCCGGAAGGTTGGTTTATTAATTTAGTTTTGTGCTTTCAGTTTAAACTATAAATAATTACTGGAACAACATTTTTATTTTGGAGCATATTATCACTTAATTATGCATTAAAAGTCACTCACATAGATATATCAAAGTATCAACTCTTCAAAATGTATTTTTATTTATTTAATCTTTATTTGTTTTCAGGAAATAACTTCATACAAACAGAGTCTATCTCTATATTATAAACATTATTACCCTAATTGTATTATATTATATTTTTTTTTTCCTTTTTCATTCTACATTATAAATATTACAAAAATCTAAATGATTACTTAAAAATTATATTTATTAAAAAGTCAGACAGTTAAAACAATGCCAATTATCAACTTCAGTATAAAATCTAAAATTATCAATAGAACACATAAACAACAATAAAAACAGTAAATAGATTTTATTCTTTAAATATTAATATCAAACAAGAGAACAAGACCCATACAAATCCGTTCAACATTTATTGTAACCAATGCCGACATCCAATCCACATTTTCGTTACCATGCTCAGGGGACAATATTTTAGATTACCCCACCAATTCCCTATACTAAGATATATAAGATTAGAGATGAAAAAATATAATTTTCTCATATCTTCTGTAGTCGATCCCATTAAGATTTCCCATACTCTGGTAAGTTCTTATTCTCAAATTATTATATATTGGACATTTAAATAATAAATGATCAAGTGTCTCTTTTTGCATTGTATTGCACATTTCGCACTCAAGTTGTGGATTGATTTTTAAAATTTGATTGTTTACTGAAATTTTATTCAAGTATTAATTGTGGATATGCATTAGTATTCCAATTATATTTGAAATTAGCCAGCAGCAACAGATACTGAGACCCTACTATTGTTAAAAAAAGGTTCAAATGTTCACTGTAAGCTGAGCTATGCAATCCTTTCTTGTCACCCTCCTGCAAATGTTATTTATATTTGTTTAATATCCTGTTAATATTAGCTCTAATTATGACTGGGTCAGTTTCATAAACTAAATCGTCTTCCTCAATAGTATCTAACAATAATTAAACTGAGCACACCAATTATATTTGGAAAGAACAGGATTGGATTGGTAACATTTGGTTCTTAGCTTTTCGAAACATATTTTAGGACATCTAAATTCGTCCATTTCCACAAGCCTAACCGACCAATTCAAGAAATACTTCGTAACATCAAAACCAATATGAATAGAATCTGCTTCTAAATGTATTAAAAAGTTGGGTGGATTTCAAAGAGAAGATCTTTTCAAAGAGATCTATGTATCGCAGACTCCATACCTGAGCACATTATAGCCAAGCTGTATTAATGATGCCTTTTTTCAACTTATCTCTCGCCTTCCATGGGTTCGTTTTGGAAAAAAGAAATATTTATCGAGGTTGAAAATGAATATCCAGAAATAATAGTCAGAAGGTATACATATAATATATCGTTGGAAATCGGAGAATTTAAAAAAAAATACAAATAATAATTTCTAATAACTAACATTATTTAACGTTAATCACGTGTTTTCAAGGAAATTAAATGAATTTTTCTTACTAAATGTAAACTTTTTAGAAAATTAAATTAATGAATAATTTGATGAATTTTATCTTTGCGATATCCCAACAGTATCCACTTTCAATTAGTGTGACAACTTTTGACGTGTCTATTACAGGCAATGCGAATCTCTTAATTCTGTTTTAGTAAACTTTGCAATGTCAAAGAACAGTTTAATCCGTACATATATTATTACAGTAAGGCTCGAAATCGGTTTTGTACCAAATATAAGTTCCTGTCATGCTCAAATACCATGAATGGGGTACCGTTGGGTTCAGAATTTCACGGGGGGTTAGCGAATCGTATTCTCCGCTTTTGTTTTTCTTTCTAAAATAAATAAAGTCGATACAAACATTTAGCTAGGCTTCAATACTGGAATGGTGGTAGGTCTGTAGATCGATGCGGTACAAATTGGACCTTGAAGATTTTGATGTGTACAGCAAGACCCGGATAGTTCCTGCGTTTTTAAGCCCAAAAACGTACCATTTACGAGATAACGCAAGGCATGGGGTTCGAATCCACACAACCTGACGTTAATTGTAGTACTGTCATTGGATACATGTCTTATTTTGTCGACTTGGGGTCTCTATGATCGAGACAGGAGGAGTTTATATTATTTATCGATGGTGTTTTTGATCGGCAAGCCATATCATCGTTAATTCTTCACCAAATCTCAAGATCGAGCCACCAATTTCGAAGGCTTCCTTCTTCAGGCGGGAAAAATATTCCAATCACCCCAAAATTCAGGCAAACAAGTTATGAAAAAAAAGAAACTTTATTTGCGAATAACTAAAAAATTACACACTTTTCCCTTAATTATTCCCATGATTGTATAAAACGTTACTAATTGTCTACAAAAGGAAAAAAAAATCATTGAAATCAGATAATTTTTCGCAAAGATACAGCTTATTGAAATTTGTAAATATGTTGGTTCCAAACAAAAATGAAGATTTAAATTAATTTTCTTTCTTTTGTGGATTATATTTATGGATAAAGTAACAATTGAGTTCTTTATCTTTTGATACGTTGCATTATTTTATTTTCTTATTAATTTGGCATTTGATAACAATATGCTGTGCGAATTTTTCGCACGGGCCTACTAGTAACTAATAGTCATACAATCCATAATCAACCGGTGATATAATAAATAGGACTTTTGTTATTTTAATGTTATTTTAGATTTGTTAGCTGTAATCTTTTAGCTTTAGCTCGGTTAAAAATGCAATTAAAAAATTTTATAATAGCCCAACATGGCCAGAAAATAATTTCTATTCAAAGTTGAGCAGTCAGTGAAAGTTGTGTGTTGCGGGCATCAGATTTTTATATTTACGATAGTCCCTTAGTAAACTTTCAATACTAAAGGGAAATGATCAGAACTGAACACAATTTGTTTGACTCTTAAGTCACATACCAATTCTAAGTCACTGATTTCATACCAGATAAAATCCACAACACTCGAACCATTAGTGCTATAATAAGTACCAGTTAGATCACTGGGAGTTTGGGACCATTTAACACTATAAAGGAATTAAGCTCCATAAATTCAGTTAATATTTTTTCTCTTAAATTTATGAAGCTGTCTGAATTTCTTTGATTTGTCAAGAGGCAAGTGTCATGAACAATTTCTGGAGAGCATATATTTAAATTACTTATTCTAGAATTAAAGTCCTCTCCCAAATAAATCGGAATATTTTTATGTTCTCTGATTTCATCTATATTAATTTCTATTTTTCCAAAAACAAATTAATATCTAAATCAGGATTAATATAAACAAAGCCTACAATTAATTTTAAACTATTCTTACAGAGCATTTATCCTGATCATAAAACCAAACCATGCCACCAGAGGCTCTTCCGTGTTTATACCTCCTAACAGCTGGGCTGTTTCATGAGTTGACATCCAACTAGGCTTAGCTCTTATTTCAGTCGCTAAGTGAGTTTCAGTGAGGCATATCATATCGTACTTGCCCATGTATTCATCGTGTATGAAATTTTGATATCCTTTAATATTCCGAAATAAAATATTAAAACATAATACCTCTTCTACCAGTCCTGATGATTCATTTCCCAGCTCTCTAGTTTTAATTTGAATATTTTCTTTCTCTAAATAAATAGCTTTTCGCCAATTTTTTTCCTTTTAGTTACCTGAACTGGTGATAATTTACTGTCTTCAAGAGGTTTCAGTAGACCTCTGATATCAAAGATGTGAAAAGTGTTTCCTTTCATTGTAAAAAAACTGTTTTTCAAGTAGTAGTAGTGTCAAGCTTCCCAATCTGTTAAGATATAAATATATCTGTTTTCTCTATCCTCTTTCCTTAGGTGATTTATTATGTGCTATAGGAATTTCTGTAAATAAGTCTCTCTTTTTCATTATTGTTTGGTTCATTAAATAACTGTTAAGAGAAATTAGGATAGGCCTGGGTTTGTTGTATATATTTTTTCCCAACTGTAGCAATTGTTTATCAAACCATCAGATAGTCTTATGTCCATACCAGATAATATTGATTTCACTTCATCATCTGCATTTTCCAAATTGGTATCTCCTTTTCCTGGTACATTAAATAATACAATATTATTTTTTTTCTGGCTCTTTTCTCTATATTCTTTATCCTTTCTTCCAATTGAGAGTTAATCTTTTCGAGTTCATTGATTTTGTTTTTTATATACTTAAGATTCGATATAATATTTTCCAGTAAGGTGTTAATTTTTTCTACGGTTTCTTTAATACTTGTAGTTTCAATGTTATTGCTGCGGGTTTTCATTATTATTGTCTGAAGTGTCACAGTTTCATCATTTATTGGATTCATTTGATACATGTTCAATGGGAATTAGGTCTGGAGAGTAAGATAGCCCCAATCGAGGCATCCAATTTCTTAATTTTGAAGGAATGCATTTATGGGTCTACCTCTGTGTGGTCTAGTGCTGTCATCCACAAAAATGAAATCTAGACCAGTTTTTTCTGCCATAAGTTGCACTATTGGTGATAAGATTCTATCCAAGTAATACTGAGTAATCATTGTCTCAATTTGTAACACCATAAGCTCTGTTCAAAAGCCCGAAGATATACCACCCCAAGCTATAATTGAGTCTTCTCCAAATGGATAAACAGGCAAAATCATGGTAGGATTGTATCGCTCACAGAACTTCCGGTAACTCTATCTTGGTTTGTCTTGTGGCGCAGTACAACAAATTTAGACTTATCTGTGAAAAGGCAGTTATTCCAGGCATAATCAGTCCATATGTGAAGCCAAGTGTATTGAAGTTTTTGAACTTTATGTTTTGGGGTGAGTCTTAGGTGCTATCCATGCTCTATCCTCCTTCTTCACTCTAATTGCAAATTTCTTCTTCACTCTTGTTCTAATGTGCAAATTAGCCTTTAGGCTCTGGGTATTACCTCCTTCCAAAGCAGCAACAGCTGTTGCACGTTCTACTGCTATAAGATGTCATACTTCTTCTTCTTTCTCTATCTCCTTTGTGCTGTTAAGCATTGAGTAGTCGCAGCCCACATTCGGTATGTGTCCCTAAACTGGGCCTTTCTCTTCATCTCCCCCAGGGTCGACCCCTGCTCTCACCCGAGTGTATCGGTATTACTATTATATGTGATTCTTGGGCATCTAACTGGTTGCTGCCCCCTCGGTCTAGCCCCCATCAACCAGATGTCATACAGACGTTCTTTAATAGCCAGAAGAACTTTTAAAAAGAGTCAGTAAAATATATTAAACTAAGGATAAGTCCCTCTTTTGTTTATGTTTGAGAGAGTTTATTTCAAAGAAATTAATTCATTGTGAGTTTAAACAATCAACAGTTGTCAAATTAGAAAAATGTTGATTCCTCACAATTTTATAAACAATTAAAGCTATGATCCACTTCATTTGCTAACGAGTATATTATTATTATCTTTATATTATATTATAAATTTGTGAAAACATATTGTAAAAATCATTTCCTTTTTTCAGCTATGATGAAAAAGTTGCTTTTTGGGATGTTCGCCAGATGAAATCGCCAAAAAATCTTATAAGTACAGGTGGAGGAGTTTGGAGATTGAAATGGGAACCAAATGAATGTTCTGATTTGGCTGCAGCATGCATGCACAATGGATTTCTTGCAATCGATGGAAATAATGGTTCGATTATTGCAGAATATAAAGAACATTCAAGTCTTGCATATGGGATAGATTGGTCATCTCTTGAACAAAGAGAAATTTCAGATTATTTTGACATTGAGACATTTGGGGATAAAAAATTACATGTTCTTTCCATGTGTTCTTTTTATGATAATCTATTATCTATAGCAATTCTCCAAAAAGGATTGTAACTTTTAGGGATAGCTTAATATTTTATAATGTTACTTAATATTTATTTCACTTTTTTTTATTAATTGTGGAATGAAGAACTATGTTTAGTAATATGAAGAACCTGGGTAAACAATTACCTAGTTAAACATATTGTATTGAAGAAAGTAACTAGTTGATTGACTTTCTAGCTGATAATTTCAATCATGATGAAGAGCAGGTTCATGAAGTGTTACCAGAAGATTTTATGAGATATATACGTGTAGGATCTTTATTCACATTCCCATGTGAATTTTTCAGTGATAAAAATTAAATTTATTTTATTAAATTGCTTAAACAAAATATACTTACTTATTTAAGAATACTTATGTGAGTTTGTTTTTTACATTTTTTGTTAAATTTAATACTTCTTTGTGTTAAAATGTTCTAGACAAATAAATTGATCTATTATTTTGTAATTGAAATGACAATGATGGCTTTAAAAAGAATAAGGTTTCAATTTTTTTCCTCTACTTTTATTTACTTGAATTTTATTGCAATCAGGGCCGTGGAGAGAAACCAAGGGTCCCAAGAATAAATTTTGTTGGGCCCCCTTGAAATATTGAATTTTACACAGGAACCCAACGTCAACTTTTATGGTGTATGCAATTAATAAAATACATAATATCATAGCTGCTGGCACTTAAGAAATATTGGAAGGAGGCGAAGATGATAAAAGTATTCAATACATGGGAGGAGATGGTTGGGGGATAGAAAATTATTTATAAAGGAATAGTTAAGCAATTAGTTTAATTACCTGTATTATAATATAATATATTACTTATCAAAGGTGTTTGTTTTGTGGGTAAGCCATATCTTTGTTAATTCTTCATCAATCCAATGATTGAGCAATCGTTTTGAAGATTATCTTTTACTTCAGGTGAGAAAAATATGTAATGTACATTCTCTAGAAAAAAAATTATGAAGAAAAAGAAATTTTATTAGTGCTTAACTTGAAAAGTATACAGTTATTGTTGCTGTTTAATATACCTAGTCCTGTCATAAATATTGTTTCATGGAAATATATACAGATTTCAATAGCAAAATTAATTTTTCTAAAACTTCATTAGAAAATAAAATGTATATCTATAGAGAATAAAACAAAGAAATTACTCAAAATTTTCCCCTTTTGCCTTGACACAGGCATTTAATCTCTGTGGCCGGTTTTGAATAGCAGCGCGCAGCAATTCTTGAGGAAAGCGTCTAGCTGTTCGGACCAGAGATTGTTTAAGGCTTTCCATCCAAGTTAGGGTGTGCTCTGTGGCATACCATCCTCTCCAGTTCGGACCAAAGCCGATAATCTAGTTGGTTGCGATCAGGGTTTCCTGAGGGCCAATCTGAGGCAGAAATGAACTCTGGAATGTTCTTTTGCCGCCATTGCTGAGTTGACCTGGCCTTGTGAGTTAGGGCGGAATCCTGCTAGAAAACCCAATGACTTCCAGAAATCAAGAGTTTCATTTAGATGCTTGACAACAGGTTCCAAAATATCGTCCTGATAGTTTTTAGCGACTGTTTTAATTCTCACAAAAATGGAACTTTGTGGTACCATCAAAGCAAACTCACCACCAAACCATCCCTGAGGAAGGGTGATGACCAGTTTCCACTCTTCCAATGACTTCCTGGGCTTCTTTAGAGCTGTGTGAGTTCACACGATCATTTTGGCAATTACATTTTTCTTCAATTGTAAATATTTTCTCATCGCTAAACAAAATCTTTCGATGAATGCCATTGGTGTACCGGCCAAGGAGCACTTTACATTTATCCAAGCTAATTTTTTACTTTCACTTACGTATATATGTAATATATAGAAAAGGTAAGTATTGCGATCGTGAAAGTTTTCGAATCTCAGTTTTCAACGGAAATACATGTTTTGAGGTCCCCTGAGTCCAAATAACCAAGTGTCGCAAAATGGTGTGTTTGTGTTTGTTAACAGTCTAGCTCAGAAACAAAAAGTAGTACGAAACTGATATTAAGTATTTAAGGTTTGTATAATGTGACAGCAACTTTTTGTTAAAATCGGCTAAACGGAAGTGCCACTTTATATGAACGCTGAACACATTTTTACAATTTTCTCAAAAACGGCTCTAACAATTTTGATTAAACTCGGTGTATCATTGTATAATTAAGTGGTCTCTAATATCATTTAGCTCTTATCCCCGTTGATGTCACTTTACAGGGCTTAAATGCCCAATGATCATATATGTCTTCCTCTAAAGTACCTTTAATATGGTTTATTTTAAAAAGTTAATCATTTTACATTGTTTAGAGTTAGGAAAAAATGCTATATATAACTTTTGAAAGAATTTGATAAGTTAATAAAGGAGAAAAAAAGTAAAAATGCAGAAAAACCTGCGTTGCTATAGACTGTAGCGCCTAAACGAATGTACCGATTTAAATGAAGCTTCGCTAAAGTCATTTTCTCGACACCCTTTAAATTATGTATATATCATACTTCAACGAAAAGAAGCTGGAAAAAAAGTTATGAGGGATGGTAAAATTAAATTTTGATTAAATAAAAAAGTATACACTTTTTTGTCGATATTGTATATGGTTTTTTAAAAGTTTATGGAATTTCCTATAAAAAAAAAAAAAAAATTCGTTATAATCTTGTATTTAGGAGGAAAGATATGGTCTCTAGTTTTTTAACCTGAAGAGGCAAAAATTTGGAAATTGTTGGAGACTAAAATAACCTTTTTTCTACAGGTATTTAATAAAGTATTTTTCCTAAGAACATCTTTCATAAGAAATAAGTTCTATATTTCAACACTGCAATTACCACCTCCTGAATCAACTACTCACTATCTGTATAGATAACTTTTCAACTAAAAATATCACTAAAATGACATTACTCAAAAATGTTGAAATTGGAGTTAGTCATTGTGTGGTTTATAAAAGCAGATGGAGTGACTTGATTTTTATTGCCTACCGTTGATATATTAAATAGGAATTTTGTAATTATAATGATTTGTTATCTGTAAGCTTTAAGCTTTAGCTCCGTTTAAAATGCACTTCTAAAATTTTTGTAGTATTGCCAGAAAATAATTTCTATTCAAACTACAGCGGTAAGTGAAAGTTGTGTGTTGCGCGCACCAGATTTTTTAGGGAAGTGGTTATAGCCTTTGTCCTGTCATTCTTCAAAATGCACCCATCCTAAGGTCACTGTTTATTATGTGAGACATTGATCTGATAGAGATTCCCATTTCCTGAGACATGATTTGTTGTTTTGAAATGGGATTTCTTCTGATTCGAGCAGCCACTGCTCTCAATCCTGTGACGGCGAGGTCGAGGTCTGTCACATACAGATATGGCTCATTATGTCTATTTATAGTGCAGTACACGAACATACGGCTGATACCCAATGGTTTCAAAGTGTTGAAAATCTCTTTTTTGTAAGATTATCACAGCTGTTCGGTTTTCTTTATCACCCCACTCCATGTTAACTGAGTGAAAGAAAGAGACAAACTAATTGGGGTTATTATCCTGACATGTATAAAAAATAATCTGATAGAGGTAAGGATTATCTAAATAATAGCAATTTTATAATATTTTAATACTACCAAACAATAAAACAATTTTTTTCTTGTTGATTTAGGTGTGATCATTATTTCATTTTTTCACATTTAACCAATGACAGATTTAAGTTTCGAAGAACCACAAATACTCCAACCTACAAATTTTACATACAAAACTTCTTTTTGTGATTTTCTGTGTTTTCTTCTACTGCAGAAGAATGTTCTTCCTAATAAGAGACATAGAAAAAGGTCATGAGTGCATCAGTTTGGTGAAGATAAGTGTGCAGGAGAGTTTTTTAAAACTTTTCATTCCTTATTAAATCATCTGGACAAATTAAAGAACTACTACTGTATGTCGAAAGAAACCTTCAATTATATTCTTAAAGGCATAAAGGACAATATATCAAGTCAATCTAACTTCAGGGAGTGCATCAGCCCTGAAGAGAAAGTTAGATTATAATAAGGTAAGTTAACATAACCTGTGTTTATCAAAGTCTACACACAGAGATTGTAGTTATTATTGTTTTAAAAAGTGGGTGTTATGGTAATAAGTTGTCAAGTAGAAGGAAACATGTTAAAATAGTTTGTTTCAAAAATTAAAATATTAAAAATCTAGGTGGTTAAAAAATAATAACTAATTATCGCGATATATATATATATTACGTTTTTAGTGAAAATATTATCTCTAGATCTAACACAATAGCTGAATTTAAAGAATGCCTTCTAGAAATAACTTATAGATAATGCTAAAATTTACACAGCCCTCTTGTCTAGCAGTAGTGTTAAAAACAAACATAAATCTGATTTTGTTTGTTAAATGTAACAAATGTAAAAATGTTAAATAGTACAGCCAATAATAAAGCTATGTCAATTCTTCATCAAATTCAATTATTAACCACTCATTTTGAAGATATTCTCCTTCACATGCGAAAAATAGTTCCATCTCCCCGAAATTTCTGGTAAAAAGTTATGGAGGAAAAGAAACTTTATTTGTGAATAATTAAGAAAAATATGCATTTTTTCATGATAATTAGAAAGATTATCAAATTACCTACAAAATAAAAAACCGGACAATGTTTAACAAAGATACAGTCCATTAGTTTTGTATACTTAAGAATTTCTTCCGATTTAAAGATATTGTATTTAGGAATAGAACAGTACTACATTTTTTTCCTGGCTGAAATATTATTTCTTAAAGATGTTTGGTTGTTCTTACATTTTATTTATTTTTAATAATTTAGAATATCTTATGATCGGGGCATTAATTTTTTTATATTACTTTTATTATCTTTCCAGTCAGCGTTTAAAAATATTTCCTAGCTAAGTAATTTGTGCAAATATTTTGGTCTATTATGTTTAAGAGAATATTGTAATCGACCAAGGAAAAAATATTAATTTCTTCCTTACATAATAAAGGGAGCTACTTATTTCTATATTTTTTGCTATTTCTTCACAAAATTAATTTTTTTGCAGGGGCCAACTAGTAAACTATAATATTTTTGTTGTTCAATTCAATTTATTTTTATTATCTATCAAATAAATAAGATTTATTAATTGGAAAACATGAAAAAATAATTTTAATAAAATTAAACTAATATTTAGTACATATATTGGACAATATTAAACATGAATAAATTATAAATTAGAGATGATGTTGCCATGGTAGGTGTTTGTTTTTCGGAGGGATGCTGCAGAGCCCATTTTCCAGCGTGTCATACGATTTACGAATTCAATGTAACCACAGCCTTAGCTATCTCGGGCCACTCCGCCCCTTTCACTTACCTATATCTGAAATATGTAGTATAGGATGCGATAGCGAAATTTTTCGCAACCGAGTTTTCAACGAAAATATACGTTTTGAGTTCTCCTTAGTCTACCAAGTCTCGCAAAATGTTCTGTATGTGTGAACACACAAGCTCAAAAACGCAAATTCGTACGAAACTGAAATTGAGTATTTAAGGTTTGTATATAGCTGGGACGGCAAACGCAAAGTTAGGCAAACCAGAAGTGGTACTTTATATCGTCGATTTAACACATCTTTTCGAAAACGATTTTGATTAAACTCGGTGTATCATTGTATAATTAAGTGGTCTTTTCATATTTTGATATCAATCAGTTCTTATCCCCATTTATGTCACTTTGCAGAGCTTAAATGCCCGAAGTTCGTATACGTCTTCCTCTAAAGTACCGTTAAAATGATTTATTTGAAATAATTAATCATCTCACATTATTAAGAGTTACGAAAAAATACTAAATATAACTTTTTAAAGAATTTGATAATTGAATAAAGGAGAAAAAAAAAAAATTCTTATACAGGCCGAAAATGAATCTCCGGAAATACTAGTCAGAAGGTATACTTATAATATATCGTTGGAAAGCGAAGAATTTTAGAAAGAAAAAGGCGATATCTAGTATAGAGAGTTGTAGAAGGTAACGAAGTGGCGAAAAAATTAGAAATAATAATTTTTGAAAATTAATAATATTCAACGTAAATCACACGTTTTCAAGGAAATTAAATGAAATCTGCTAACTAAATGTAAACTTTAAAAAATATTTTTAAGTTTGTAAAAAGTATTTAAAATCCACGTAATCGAGGAAATTGTATAAAAAACTATTTCATTGTACATATGTCAAAGAAGAAGTAAAATATAAAATCATTTCATGGATGTATAAACCATTTGTTCCTAACCTTAAATACTTTTACTGTAGTTTAGTGATTATAGATCTGATATATTTAAATAATTAGGTATTAACGTTTATTCCGAAAAATTGTCATGGAATTTTTTTAGAAAATTAAATTAGTGAATTAACCTTTGTGAAATTACATTATTATGTCTTCCTCTAAAGTACCTTAAATATGGTTTGTTATAAATAATAACAATTTCTCATTGTTAGGAGTTATGAAAGCTAAATATAACTTTTGAAAGAATTTGATAATTGAATATGGGAGAAAAAAATAAAAATACATATCCAGAACGAAAATAATCGTCAGAAGGTGTACGTATGATATATTGTTGGAAAACGGATAATTTTAGAAAAAATAAATGAAGTTGTAGAAGGTAACGGAGAGTGACGAAAAAAATATAAATATTAATTTCTAAAAAATAACATTATTTAACGTAAACCAAGTGTTTTCAAGGAAATAGGAAATTTCATACAAAATGTTAACTTTTAACATTTTTTTTTTTTAAGTTTGAAAAAATATTTAAAATCCACGGATTCAAGGACATGACACTGTTTAAGATACTATTTCATTGTACTTGTGTGAAAGAAGAAGTGAAATACAAAAATATTTCATGAATATGTTTATAACCTTAAATATATTTACTGTAGTTTACTAGATATGGTATCACTAGCGGATCCAGGATTTAATTTTGGGGGGGAGGCTTCAACCCGAAGGATTTTTTTTTATATCTATAACGATAATTAATTTGAAAGAAAGAAACTAACTAACCATATGACATGGTGTTTTAGTGGTTCTTTAAGCCCTATTAAATGTAATTACACGAATAATAATAGTTTAAGAGATAGTTTTCAATATTTTTTCCTATAAAACATGGTTATATTTTACCATTTTGGGAGGGCTTCAGCCCGAAAGCCTCCCTCCCCCCCGTAAATCCGCCTGTGTATGGTATTATTTTTAAATAATGAGGGGTCTATCGTACTTTTATTTCGAAAAATCGTGTAACTTTTTAGAAAATTAAATTGGTGAATAATTTGATGAATTTTCCCTTTCTGATATCCCAACAGTATCCTCTTCCAATTAGTGCGACAACTTTTGACCTGTCTATGACAGATAATGCAAATCTTAATTCTAATTTAGTAAACTTTACAATGGAAAATCACAGTTTAATAACTAATACTCATACAATCCATAATCAACGGATCATACAACCCATAATCAACTGATCCTACAAACCATAATCAACCGGTGATATAATAAATAGGACATTTGTTATTTGAATGGTATTCATGATTTGTTAGCTGTAAGGTTTTAGCTTTAGCTCGGTTAAAAATGCAATTAAAACATTTTATACAAGCCCAACATGGCCAGAAAATAATTTCTATTCAAAGTTGAGCGGTAAGTGAAAGTTGTGTGTTGCGCGCATCAGATTTTTTCGTCACTTTCCAAAACCTTTGGATTTCTGTTCTCAATTATCAAATTGATACTTTATCAAGTATCAAATTGATACTTTATGATACAATTATCAAAATATTTTGTATTTCATATATTATATTTTATAGTTCCTGTCAATAAGAGGGAGTTAATTTTTTTAAGTAAACCAAATAAAAGGTACTTTAGAAGAAGATGTTTACGAAAATTGGGCATTTAAGCCCTGTAAAGTGATATAAATATGGATAAGACCTAGCTGATATAAAAAACAACTTAATAATACACTGATATACCGAGTTTAATCAAAATCGTTGGAGGCGTTTACTAGAAAATCGTATAAATGTATTCTATTGATTATATAATGTGCTACTTCCGGTTTGCTGATTTTGACGAAAAATTTACTGTAACATCCCAGTCATATATAAATCTTAAATACTTAAATTCATTTTCGTACGACTTTTCGTTTTTCAGCGAAGCTCAGTTCACAAGCACGCACACACGCGATGGCAGGCAGGCAGACACAAGACAACACACACAAATCATTTTGCGGAACTTGGTTATTTGGACTCAATAGACCTCAAAACGTGTATTTCCGTTGAAAACTCAGATTCTAAAATTTTCACAATCGCAATACTTTTCCTTATTGTATATTACATATATAGGTAAGTGAAAGTAATAAGAGAAAGAACAGAAATGTGTTTTTTTATATTGCTTACCTTTTAAAATTTTAGTTGGATTCGTTTCTGAAATAACCGATTCAAATATGTCATACCCATAGAACATATATTTACTAAGAATATAAATAATATAATTTCATGTTTAACTCTAATTAAAGTAATTAAAAATCAAGTACCATGAAGCGTAATGCAGTCAGAATCTTATCAAACCAATTACTTTAAAAAGTTGTCAGCAGTTAAAACTTCATCAGCAGCAGGGGTGACTATATACAACCATTTTTGGAAGAAGGGGGAGGGGAGAAAGGAGAGAGCTTCAGCCCTAAAGCGTTTTTCGTAGATCCGCCTGTGCTGCACTGCTATATTCTTTATTTTTAACTTGATGACTCTAAAATTCATCGGGAACATAGATAACATTGTTGAGTGTGATTTCTGAATGAAAAATCAATTTGCTCCATTTTGTTAGAAAGAACCTTTTCAAACCTAGGCCACTATATGTAGAATGTAGTATTGTTCAAATGAATTGTAGGACTGTCTTACACTATTATGTAGAACGTATTATTGTTCAAAAGAATTGTAGGACCGTCTTACAGTATTATGTAGAACGTAGTATTGTTCAAATGAATTGTAGGACTGTCTTACAGAATTAGAACGCTCGGCAAACCTCTTCCTACGATTTGTTTTGGATAAGGGCTTTCAGGATGTTGTCATGGTTACTGGCTAATGTAACATGCCTGTTTTAAGCTCTTGCTATTAAGCACTTATTAGTGTCACACTCATGATGGGATTTTCATTCAATCTTATTTAATTTTATAATTTTGAACTGCAATAGGATGTCCTACAGAGATTTGAGAAGTATAATTTTAAGTTATAAAATTACATTAAGTATGTATTGTTTAACAGAAATTATTACAATTTTACTTCCTTTACCTCCAGATTTTACTGAAATGATAAGATCCTTGGGATTCGTTAGACTTGTATCCATGGAAAATTTTAGAACCCCTAACTTCAACTTGGTTGCTGATATACTAATCTGGTTAATAAAAAGGTTTGATCCAGAAGCAAATATACATGAAGAATATACATCAGAGCAAGACAGAGTTCTTCTTGTAAGATCAGCAGCAGAGTTTATGGTACTATAAGCCAGAATTAGTTTTAGTTTGGAGCTAAATTATGATTTATGTACAATTTTTAGACTTGTAAATACTTTATTTTTTTAGGCTTTAAGAGCTAATTTAATTCTAAACACTAAACGCTTATACCAGGCAGATGGTTTCTCAGTTAAAGAATTATTAAAAATTGCAACTCTTTTGTACCAAGCTCAACAAGCTAATATTGATGATGAACAAAATTTAAATAGACCTGCTACTGATATGATCGACATTAATTCACATGTATGTTACATATGAATTTTTTTCCTTTTTTTTCAAAGAAGTATATTTTATTATTGTTAATACATTTGACTCTGTAGCTTCTCATTCAAATTAAGTTGCCCTTTTCATTTATTTCCTGGTAGATTTTCATTAGTTTATACTTATCGTTTAGTTTTACAAGAAAGCATTTATTTTTTCTGAGGCTCTTCTTTTTTAAACTTCCATCAAATTTAACTCATTGATTTTCTGTAATATCATGATGAAATATATATTTTTTACTAGGGATTAATATTTACCTACTTTAAACCCTATTCATTAAAACCCTAAAATTATAACCTATGGGTTGTAATAATTTGTTATAAAAAACACAAAAACAAAAAAGCCCATTTTCCCTAAGTAAATCTGGTAGTTCTAAAGTTAATGGGAAAGATATATTTAAAAAAAGAAACTTAGGGTATTATAACATGCATTGTAGTGTTGTTTATGTCTTTCGACTCAACCTCTTTTTACTTTTGACTCAAGAACTACTGTATTTTGCAGTTTCCTTCGCGAATGCTGTAAATCAGTAGGATGATTGAATGAATCATGAACAGGCTTTATAAAGTTTTTCCTTTCTTGCTTAAAGTTTCCACTAGGAAGTTGTGTATTCATACAGAAATTGAAAAAAATATTTGTCCTGTTTTACATTTTAGACTCTGAACAACAAATTTGGATCTGTGTTTGCCTATTGTAAAAATTCTTGACTGTAAATCCTGACAATTGTGTTTCATCATTTGTAATTTCTGATGCCTGGACTGAAAGTACCTGTTTAAAGCTGAAAAACCTTTCAAATTGAAGTGATGTAGCTTAAAGTTTTTGAAACAAATAGTTTTGTTTCGATTGCAAAATAGGCAAGCTTTCTGTTAATACCAGTCAATTATTATGATTTAGAGATGAATATCCTTTGTAGAGTAGGTAGCTAATGTAAATATTTTAATAAGGTGTTTGAAAAATGATAATTCACTTTGTTAACATTTCTAATTAGGTTGTCAGATCCCTCAGTAAATTAATTTACTTGTAAAAATAAATAAACCAAACTTTGTGAGGGTAAATAACAGGTTTAAAAGATTATAGAGCATTTGGTGATCTAAATAGTTTAGCAACTCTCTGATGATAAATGAATGTAATGTTTTCTTTTATCAAGCATTGATGTATAGCCATCAGAAGGCAATTTTTAAATTTTTTTTTTTTTTAGTTCAAAAGCTGTTTTCAAAGTTTTGTTAAAGGCTCAAATTTTATATAAAAAGCTTTAAAATTACCTAAATATGGCTTAATTCTTGGTTTTAAATTGCCTGGAAATTAAATGGTAATTCTGGTAGTATACATTTACATTTTTATTTGTCACATTTTTTAAAAATCCAATTCTTATTTGTAAACTGATTATAAATTAATAGAAAACTCAACTTTTAAAGAAATAAATTGACTACAGTAAGCAGTAAAAAAGATAAAAAAAATAAATTAACACTCCTTTCACAAAGATAACAAGAAAGTGAGAAAGAAGTACATAAAATAGATTGACTTTACAAATACTAATTTTTTTTTTCATAATAACAATTAATTATTAGATTGAAGAATTGAAGTTGTCAAGGGAACTTGCCACCCAAGTTACTACAAAAGGCGCATCAATCTATGAAAGTTTGGGAAAGGAAGTTGAACTAAAAGTATGTTTTCAAACAATCAACATAGAGTTTTACTTATTTTTTCCTATGCCTAATGAAATGCTGTTGTTTTAGGAAGAAAGGTATCAAAGTGTTAGTAATTTTCTTGAATTAAATAAAGTTGAAAAGGCTTTAAAAGAGACAAATTTTGCCACAAAACAGAATATAGAGAGTACAAAAGGATTTATAGAAAATGTTGCAGCTACAGAAAATAGTCTAGATTCAAAAATTGAAAAGAAAAAGAGTGAATTAGAAAGGAATCAGAAGAGACTTCAGACTTTAAAGAAAGTGAGGTGAATGTTTGTTGATTATTTGTTGTTGTTTAAGGCTTGCAACCACATCATCAACATCTGCGGTTAATTTCCACAATAAGTTTGAAAAAAAATAAAACTATATTAAAATTTTTTAAAACTACAGAATGATATTAAATAACAAGTACAAAAAGTAGGCTTATAAGCTATTTTAAATGACAATACAGTAAAGGTGTTATAATTTAGAAAGGAGATGTGTTCTTAAAAATTCAAATATCAATGGGACTGAAGTTATATTGTCATTAGGGGTTATAGACAAATTCTGTCCTATTCTATTTAATCTTCTATCTATTCCTATTCTATTTAATTCTAAGGGGTCAATCCTATTCTATTTATCTTGAAATGAAATTATTACATTCCTCAAAAATATCTTTAACGAATAACATACATTGACAGTACTGGCATAATGGAGGTGGTTGTTTTCGAAATAAGCTGAGAGTTCTTTGTAACCAAAACTCAAACCTGCCAGAGCAACTTCCTCCATGCAGCTGCTGCTGCTGTAGATAATAGACCATGGTTTTGCCACCTTTTTTGTATGTTTCAACTTACTAGGAGGGCTTCATTTTACGTGGCCTGCCATCTATCTTATATTTCTATTTTGAAAGGTCTACTAAGTATTGGTGGGGTGAGAATGGTGGTATCTCCTCCAGGGAGCACCAGTGCCTGTCTGGCAACTGTGTGTCGAAATCTAAATAAAGTAGACGAATCTATTCTGATCTAGGAGTGTCAACAGACATGATTGGATCTGGAAGCTAGGCCAAAAGAAGAAGGAAGAAGATAAGACAGAAGAACTGTGTGCATATCTAGTAGTAGTGTGTTATTAAGTATTCTTGCCTAAAACACACTATTGCAAACACCCTTATTGCCATTGTGGCATGGGAGGGTGGAAATAAATAAATAAATGATTGGATTTTCATAACAATGAGATGTTCTGGATACATATTTTTTTAACCTTTTAACGCATCTAAAGAATCCGACATTACAATGATAGTCTTTTGAGCTATTGACTTGCAGAAATGGAGGGCTGAAGATATCGCAAATAGTCTGGCTGTGTAAATAGGATTAAATTTATGTGTTGAACCACAGGTAATTAAAGAAGCCATTGAGTTGGTAATAGTTTACATGATGCCCGCAGCTTTTTGGGCTGGGGTGGGGGCGCTTATCCTCAATGATAGTTCCTGGTTAGGTTAGATTACCCGCCTAGCAGTTGTTGCCCCCACTACTCTTCTCCTTTCCCCTACTTTTTGAAATTCCCGCGACTACCCACAATCCTGCACTTAAAGTTAATTTTTGACAGTATCCAGTTCCTAGTTCCTCTACATACATATTTTTTTTTAAATCCTACCATTCTCCCACCATCATCAATTTCCAGTCATTAATTTCATTTGCATTTAATCTTCAACTGTTAGTTGTTATTTCATTTCTGGTGTCAGAAATGATTTTGTTCATGCTTTTGTTCAGTTTCATTGTTAAAAGATATAAATGAAATAATAAATAGTTTAATAATGTTAAAATATATTGAAAATAAAAAAACAGCAATGTTTTACTTAAAACAACTACACAATTCTATTAATAAAGACTTTGGAATGGGAGAAATACCTAATAGCTTTTATTTATCCATCATATTCCCTGTTCATAAAGTAGAGGATAAGAATGACACAATGAATTACATGGGCATCAAGTTTGAAAACCCAATAGTTAAATTATTGGCTTACTCATTAATATCCAATAACTAGTTAAAGAATATAGGCAGCATTTAGGAAATATTATTCTATTAAAATCTTACTTATTATAATTATCTTAAATTTGCAGAAGAAAGACAATAAGGCACATGTTATACTTTGTTTGATATATTTTGCTATCTGCAATTATTATAGAACTAAACATATAGTTCACTACTAGGCATTATATTACAAATTGTAACACAGGAGTATCAATCAAAATTGTTAAAATAATAATGAGCTTAAACCTTAAACAAGCAATGAAGTCAATAAGGATTGACAGAACTCCTTGAAATATTATTTGGGATACAGTATGGGAATAATGTATATTATTGTAAACATTAAAATTGTATATCACATAATAAAATGTTATTATTATTAGGGAATAATTGAATAGGTTATTTTAAAAAATGACACATTTATACCACTTTTGAGTTGAGAGCTGTTCAGGGTGCATTATTCGCAGAAGCATCTTTTAGTAACAGAAAACACATTACATAACTAATGTAAAGATTGATTGTTTATCCATACATTTGTATCTTAAAAATAGCATATTTGTCATTTCACAAATAACCAATTTAATGTTAGTATATTTCTTTTCAGTGGGTACATTAATGATATAGAGGATTGTGTTGCAGGAGGAGTGAATGTCATATCATTAGGATAGTGTGTACTTAAGCCTTCATTGCTTTTATGCCAGATAGACTTCAACTTATGATTATAGATTTATAAAACTATTGTGATTAATGGAATTTACATTTAATCGGGAAGAGTTTAAAATGATGATATTCAGAAAAGGAGAGAGGTGTAGTAGTCCGGGAGGACCCAAGTTGCTTCTAGTCGCGATGCGATGGTGGGAAAATACTTTCTCAGGGTTGCTCCTTTTGGAGTTGTCAACCACCCCCAGTTCCACTCTTCTACTGTATCCTCCCAGATAATCCTTTTCCAACTCCTACGATCTTCTTCTATTTTCACTTGGAGATACTATGGACACCGTCCTGTACGATCTGGTGACTTGAAGCAGAGCCATTTTGACTCCAGGCAGGGGCTACTCAAAATAAAACCCTTATAAATGCTCACAGTTTCTAGGCATCTGAGACCCCAAAAGGTGCCCTCTATACAACTGAATCTGTTAAGAGCTATGGTCACTCTACTTTTCAAATAGTCCAAATAAGCTATCACTTCGAACTTTTTTCAAATCTTAATGTTGAGGTAGGTGACAACCTCACTCGGAGGTATTGTTGATCTTTGATCATTGCATAACAATCATTTAAAGAAATTCTTCAACAAATCATAATTTATCTCTTTAAAAACTTATCAGGAAAATTCACTTAAATACAAGGATTTTTCTTTAGTACACTACATGAGCCATTGAATACTAAAATGGTGTAAGTAAAAAACTGAAGTTTTGAATTAATCAAATATTATGGAGAAATTCAACAAATTAATAATAAATAAATTCAATTTATTTGTTAAAAATAATCTGTCTCTAGCATATCCAATCAGTTAATGCACTTAATACTTAATTAATTATTTATTATAAAAATTACTTACACCACTTTTGCAACCAGTGCTTCTATGTTACAGTTTCAATTCATAAAAATTGTTGTATTCTTAATTTACGTGTAAAGTCTTCACAGAAAACTTAATAGAATTAAGAAATATGGAAATTAGAAATTACCATATTACAAAAATTAACCAAGAACACATAAATTTAGAAAAACTCTTGAATCTACACAAACTATAAAGAATATTTTTAAAAATTAGTGCTTTACTTCTTAATAAATAAAAATTCTACTTTATTAAATGGAATAAATACCATGGGTCATTCCTTTCCATATCATACAGGGGTGGGTCAGGACACCCAGTACAGTTTTTAATGAAAATTTTATATTTAGGAAGCGAATACACACATAAGAAAAAAGTGTCAAATTTTACCTACTTATAATAAGCAGTTTCATATTTGAAAGTAAGAGATTCGAACTTTTTTGGAAACAAATTTGAGCTGGAACTAGCATGTTTGCATCTTTGCTTCTCTAAGTAAAGTAGTATTTATTGAACTAAATTCTTGAAAATGTATTCATTTGTTCTAACATGTTTGGAGAATTGGATGATACCAAGATTAAGATTTTCCTAGCCTATAATTATTTTTTGATATAAAAAATGAAAATAATTTCAAAGTTGAAATACATGATTGGAAAAATATCTTTATCTAAAGTCTATGCAGATTATTGAAGATGAATGAGGTTCTATTGAAATTTTTTCTGTATGCCCTCCCCTCTAGAAAAATAACCAAAATTATCCTTATCTTTTTCCCGTAATATTTTTTCTCAACTCTCTCATTCATTACGCTAGTTCAATTAGTAAAATATATTAATTAGTTCAAACTTTCCCTGTACATCTATTTAAGGGGTGCCCATCCCCTCCAAGGTCGATGGCGCATGAACCATCCCCCTCTCTCCAAAAATTGTATTTCACTCCCCTTCTTAAAAGCAATGCAAGCGAAAGTAAGATTAGACAATTCCAAGATCATATACAATTATACCTGGAGTGGTATGTCCCATGTTTCTTCCCAATTCTCTGTTTTGAAACTTTTCACTCAAAAATTCAAAATCCAGTCAACATGTGCCTCCTTAAAAATTTTGATGGCGCAACTTGTGGCATGAAACTCCCTTCTGGGCACCCCTGTTAAGGGACACAGGCAGACTAAGAAATGAGGGTTGTAAAAGCAACATCATTATTTACTTTTAAGGTTCTTTCTGTGGTGTAAGAATAGATTATAGAAAGAATAATGATCCAAAGTTTGTTCAATGTAAACAACGAATTCTCTGAAGTATATTTTGTGCTCCACAGCAAAATGAAACTAGTGAATAGAGAAATGAGACGTCTGAAATTACTGTAATTTTTCAGATACGGAAAACCTAACTAAGCCCAAATGAAAAATTGAGAGTTAAATTCCAAATGATATTGGTTATACCACTTCTTTACATATGGCAACTCAATTTTTCAAGTTTTAGTGACTATTTTACCTTAATTTTTCTACATAAAAGGGATTTTTTTTTCCGGTCTTGATCTTGCAAAGTGCATGACCAAGACTGATTTTGGACAACACCAACTATTATAAATCCACTATTATTACAAATTTAAATAGTTCAAAATTTGATCCTCGATCAACAGATTCATTTCTGATCATTGATATAAAATATTTTTTATGAAATGGTTTACCTCTTACCATAATGTAGATATTGCATATTGCATCTAAAATAGAAAAAGTTGTTCATTTTACTTTTAAGCCTGGTGGTAGGAGAGTATTTGTTTCAGAGTGGTATAACTTAGTTTTTGTATAATTTGAAAATTTCTATTTACCAATATCAATACACCTGTTATCATTGAAATGGAATAATAATCATAATATGATAAATTGTAATAATGTTTGTCACACCTGAATTTTCCATTAGTCCAGAATATAAGCTTTCCCTAGTTTTATTTATTTTTCAATACTTTTTTGGGAAATTAGAGGTTGTTGGCTATAATATATTTTCAATTTTATCACACTAGATATACCAAGTAAAAATAACTAGTAGTGAAACATAAAACTGTAAGGATAAAATACAATCAACTATCAATTGATTGAAAAAATATCCAAATTAACTTGAAATAGAAAACATTTTTAATCAACAAAGGAATATAAAAAACATTAGATAAAACAGAGAATATTTATTTATTTACAAAGGAATTTCAATTTATAAATGCTGCACATATACATTTACAGATTTACTGCTAAAAATAGACATATGAGAGAAATTCTTTTTACCAATTGAATTTATCCTAAGTCTAAATACAATAAACCCCTTAATAGACATATGAGGGAAATTCTTTTTACCAATTGAATTTATCCTAAGTCTAAATACAATAAACCCCTTAAGAATCCTTGTCATTATCTTTAATAATGTGACAATTAATTATGTGTTCTTCATCAACAGAACTCATTTTGGTAATAAAGGAAGAAGATGGTCCGGGGTTGCGCTCATAAATAGGCTAAATAGTGGTAAAACTATTTTATTGAAAGCCGACGTTTCGACCCGACTTTGCAGGTTTTCATCAGGGCTACAGTTACTGACTAGTCCAACTAAAGTTCTATAGTACTCAGTTGCTGTAGTTGGACTAGTCAGTAACCGTAGCCCTGAAGAAGACCTGCAAAGTCGGGTCGAAACGTCGGCTTTCAATAAAATAGTTTTACCACTATTTAGCCTATTTATGACCGCAACCCCGGACCATCTTCTTCCTTTATAATGCAACGGTCAACTATTAAATATTCATTTTGGTAATTATTTACAAGATGGCCGGAAGAGTACCACTTGTAAATAATTACCCTCATTTTTCTCTATGTAAAATCCTCTTAAATCACCTCTTGCTGAGTTGATTTGGGCTCATATAGGTTTCCAAAATGACTTAATCCTTTAATTTGTTACTTTCTTTTATTGATTTTCCTTTGTAATTCAATAGTTATGAAGGAAAAAGATTAAAATGAAGTTTGAAACTTGGTTATAGAAGATATTTCTATAGGTTGAGACTATTAGCTAATACAATTTTTATTTTGAAGTCAGTGATTTCAGGTATAATATTGAAATTTGGTTTTCCTTATTGGTTATTGTTACTTTCAATATTAAAAATATGAGTGTAGTTGATGATCCTTAAATGATAATCTTGACCTTAAATGATAAAAAAACATCTTGAATAAACATTAATAGTTTTAGGATTTCAACAAGAAAAATAATAATTTCATTTCAGAACTTTTGCAGTACAACAATCTATTTCTAAAAATCAGTCATGATGAGTATCATATCATTTATTCTGGCATAAAAGAAAACTACTTTTAGTTACTAGAGATCTCAATAAAGCTAAGGATCATCAACTATACTCATATTTTAATGATGAAAGTAATCATAACTATAAAGGAAAACCAAATTTCAATTTTATACTAGAAACTACTGACTTCAAGATAAAAATTGTGTTAGCTAGTAGCCTCGAACTATAGACACTAGCTTCTTATAACCAAGTTACAAACTTGATTTCCATCTTTTTCTTTCATTACCACTGAATTAAAAAGGAAAATTAATAAAATAAAGTAAAGAATTAAAGTATACTCACGATTTTGTCTATGAAGAAGAAACCAAAATTATCACTTTAAACACTAATATGTATAACTATTAAATAAAAAGTACCTATTAGTAAACTAAATATATTACTAAAACAACATAATTAAACTTTTAAACAAAATATCACTAATAAAATAAGAGTCTGTGAAGATGAAACCTATCACTGAACATTAAACCAAAACTACCACTTTAAACACTAAAACGTATAACTATCCAATAAAAAACTACCTATTAATAAACTAAACATATCACTTAAACAACAAAATTAAGCTTCTAAACTAAAATACTGCCAATAAAATATGAAAAATTAACGGTTTTGAGGTGCCTATGGAGCAAAAAGTGGTGGGGGATTGAGATAGCCTAACATAACTGTAACCTAAATGTAAACAATCCTCTAGAATAAGCGTCCCCACTCCTCCCCAAAAGGCTGCGGGCATCATCGGAATTATTACCATTGAGTTTTCTGCCGTGGATCCATCAGATAAATAAAAAAACGTTCCATAATGTTTTCAAGTAACCGATATAATCTTTCATTATATTCAGAAGAGGTGGTATTATTTTTTGGAATATGAGACAGCTTTAATATTTTTTTTAGAGTCAAAGGCGAATTTTGTGTTTCCGGTTTTAGTAATGGAGTCTCTTTAAGTGTTGAAATGACTTTAGCAAATATTTCTGTAAGGTAGGGGCGTATTTGGTTTTGTTGGAAAGTCGTCGAAAATTTGGGTTGGAAAATGTATCTATACGTCAGGTGGTCTATCTGTAGAAATAATTTGGAAACGTAATTTACTGCGAGTTTTTTGTCCTAAAAGTACTAGAGGAGGTAAACCTGATTCCGAACAGATACTGAGGATGGGGCTAGTTCTGAATGCACCCGTTGCCAGTGCCAGCCCTTCCCCCAAAAATATTAAAGTTATTTCTTAAACTGTATAATATTAGAATTTTATTGCATTTAACATTTCTCTAATACAGTTGCTTCATTGCTTATTCTAAAATTAATTATTTTAATACGGTTTGTAACTTTCTTTTTTTCTTACAAGTAAAAATATAGGGAAAACCCTCCAAGTCGGCGCCCTGGGTTTGCCCCGGTTGAGCCACCCTTATCTTGGTGAACCTGTCCAAACTCCAAGATGTACCACTAAGAAACCGTAGAATATTTCATTTTCTAATAGAGGTCGTTCTTAATGTGGATATGTGCGGTTCCCGACTCAATTTTTAAACAAATGTAATGCCTAAAAATTTGTGTTGATTTTTTTAGGGTATAAGTGAACTTTTCTCTTATTAAGACATAAAAAATATTTATTCAAAATATTCGTAAGCATTATAAATTTTTTTAGAAATCACTGAAAATTACTCTCTAAATTACTCTGAACTTATGCCAAAAACTATTGCCAAATGCAATAGTTTTTGGCATAAGTTCTGGAAATATTGAGAAAAGATAATATAGTACAAAAAGTGTGAAAGGAGTACTTTTTAATTATTTTAACGTTTTTTCACCCCTGAACTACGCATGTTCTCCCTATTATAAGTCCTTGGAACAAATAATCAATTCTGGAGGAGTTTTTTAAATTTTATTTTGAAATAATCTATAATATTTTATTCAAAAACAATATTTTTGAATTTTCGTAATGAAGTACTGGCATTCATATTTCTTGCAAGTGTTGAAAGCAACAAAACGTATTGACATAGCTAGCCAGTGTGAATGATCAATTAAAAGAAGAATGCTAATTTGCATGATCGAAGTAATTTTTACATCTTCCTTCAAATTTTGTTGTCATAATATATGTCATAGGTGGGGAACCTTTACATCATTAGAGGCTGCAGTACTCGTAAGGTTAGGAAGTGCTAATGGAGGCCGCAACAATTCTTTATATTTTACCGTTGCTAATTTTATTTATTACTAAATGCACAAGCCCACCTACATACGTTAAACTTAATTCTATTAATTTCCAAAATGGTCGTTACTTAAATAACTAAATATTAATGAATTCTAGCACTAGATTAATAAATATCGTTGAAAAGCGTTTGGAAGCCGCATCTACGACGCAGAGGCCACATGCGGCCTCTGAAGACTTTGTTCCCCACCAGTAATACTACAAAAAAAATAATATTTATTGTATAAAATTATTTGATATTTTATATCTTGTTAAAAATTACAGACCAGCATTTCTTGAAGAATTTGAAAAGTTAGAAGTTGATTTACAAATGCTCTATAAGGATTACATAAATAAAACAAGATGTTTATGTTATTTAGAACAAGTACAAGAAGAAAATGCTATTGCAGAACAAGAAAGAATGTTTAAAAGACAGGTATAAATTGCGTTTTACAACTTTGTACAAAGTTATTAGAAAAGTGCTAATAGAGCTATGAACAATTTACATCTAAGCTGTAATCGTAAATTTGATTAATATTTTGTTAAAAAGGAACATATCTTAAAAACTATCTTTCAGTAAAAAAATTTTTTTAATATAATATATTTTTTGTACATATTGGGTAATTCAAAATTTTTAACTTCTAATCATTGTTTCTCAAGGAATGGCATTAAGGTATTAAGACTGACAAGCAATACATAATCACTGCAGAAACAAAATAACATCTCAATTTTTAATGTAATACATTTATACCACATTTATGTAAAATTTGTTGCTCAATTTAAAAACAATATTAATTCATGTTTCTCAAGTTCATGAATAAAAATTAAAATAATTTATATTTTACACAGTAACATAAAGAGATGAGAGTGAATAAAATATATATGGTGTTTATTTATTATATGTTTATTGATTAATACTATTCAGAAACTGTACTTTCAACATTTGTCACTGATTATTGGCTAGAATATTTTTTGTTCATAAAAAATTCAAAGAAGAGTTATCAGCCAATTCTTTCAAAGCCACAAATAAAAATGATCTTGTAGAAAAAGTCTGGACTATTAGGAGAATGTTGAAAGGTTTTCCTGCCATTTCTTCTAAGTGGAATGAATAACGTTAGTGAAGATCATTGTGTGAGCCCTGAAAAAAGATTTGTATCATTTGTTTGAAATATCATTTCATATAATATACAATCTCTAATAGTCAACCCTCTTCTTTTGTTGTAGTAGGTTTTGTCAACAGTAACATCTGGTGAATGTACTAAATAGTTACTGTCTTTAACAATCAAGTAGAACTCCCTCGAGTTGGTATGGTTGAGAAAAAAAAGAACCGCTTTTTCAGGGTCACTTCATCATTTTGCACTTCTTAGACACCAATATTAACTCAGGAGTGTAATGTTAGTCCTACATCTTATACTTCAAAAGATCCTTCTCCTATTTTCTAAACTGATTTATATATCTTCCACAGATTTTTGACCAGTGGCAGATTCAGGAATTTTCTCAGGAGGGGGAGAGGGAGAAGGCTGCACCTCTGTTTCAGGTGCTTTCCCCAACCACTAACCGTTCCCCCACCACTACCCATCTCCCCCACTCCTTAGTTGAGTTTAGCCGCTCAAAAGTCCCCTGGTGGTTTTAACAATAGCAAACTCTATTTTTATTTAAAGTAAATTTTGTCTAGTTTACACTGAAGCAATCGTTAATTACTTAAATGAAATTTAGTTATCACTTCTTATTCAACAAAAAACGTGCCTTACTTAAAAAACCACAAAACTTTAATATACTAATTTCGTGCTAAAAATCGAACCATTGTTTTTAAAAACTTTTTTTGTTGCTCTTGAGTTCTGCTATCACTCCATTAAATATGTCCCTGTAGTTACGGGACAACCGATAGATGAGTTTAGACATGTGAAAAACAAAATTGCTAACACTGGTCACCAACGGAAAACTTTTTACAGCTAAAAAAAACAGATTTATCCGGTCTTTTTCTTTTTTGATCTATTACTACTAAACAGTCCATCGAAGCGAAAAATATATTCTTTAAGAAATTAAAGAACGTTAAATTGTGCATCGAACAAGTAGCTAAATGTAATAATTTGATTAAATGATATGGTCGATAACCACGATCAACGATCGCTAATTTTTACCATTTTTTTTTTTTCAAAATCTGTGATAGATTAATATAAATGGCCCTCCAGCTTGGAAATGAGTTCTCTAAGAAAAAGAAATGAATAAATTCCGATTCCGATCATATGAGAGACCAAATAATTAGTACCTACCTTCATGAAAAAGTGCCTAATGACAGCTATTTTCAGAAAAGAAAAAAACTTTCTAATTAGAAATATACAAATTATTATCGTGGTCAGTTTTATGAATTGCATGGATTCTTCTAGGAGTCTATAGTTGGCTGGAGGTTGCAATGCGTCGAGATCTTTTGAAACTGAATAAAAATTGGGTTCGGGGAAAAAACTTATTTTCTTGTGCTCGCATAAAAGATTGTTTGAAAGAATGAATTAAATTAATTTTTTTTTTTAAATTGATTTTCCTCCATCATGTATTTCACCTGCAACAGGAGCACAAGCCTTCGCAGCTCACGACGAACCAAAAACTACACTCTACATCACGCTCCCTGGGTGGATCCGCTACCGCTAGTGTTTCTGACCTGACTGGTTTTCAACTTTCGGTCAACAACCTGTGAACCCATCGTTTACTAACATTTCTGAAGCCAGCATGATCAATGATAATTAATTGAGCACTCCGAGCTGATTCACACCTCCCTCTTATTTATTCAACATTAAGCTGATGTAATTGCTTTTTTTGTCACCATTTTGCATTTTATAACAGACCATAGTATTCCTGCTCAGTCATAGCTATACTGGTGACAGAACAGAGCTTGGCCGCTAACTGAATTACTTCCTCTTTTCTCCAAACATCGGCTTGCTAAATAAAATTACTGTTTATATTTTATTCACCCTCCTTTTTATAAATGTTTTTGTTACTTCTTTAGAAAGTTGACAAAATTGTTACAATAGTTTCGATGTCAGTAAGAATACCACATCCATATTAAGATTCCAACACATAGTATTTAGTCTCTTTTTTCCCATGCATTATATTTACTTCAAAGTTGAATTATGATTAAAGAGAGAAACTCGTAAAATGATGGAGGAATTACAATTAGAAGACGCAAGAAAGTTAATGGAAGATGATGAAAGCCTTGATGTTCTAGCTGATAATGTACCACAGAAAGCAGTTGGACGGTTAAGAACTGCAACAGCAGCTAGTGAGTTTTATATTTTTTTATTAGTTTAATTAGAATCAGTTTTAATAATCAGATGCGAGTAAGGTGATTATTCATGATGATCTCATGAATTTGGGAGAAAAATTTGGTAACTGAACAGTTTATGTATCTTATGTAAGTTACATAAACTGTCTGAAAATAGTCCCTTTTATGTAAGTTACTTGCAAGTCTGAAATATACTCCCTTACTACTTTATTTCACAGTTATTCATAATAAAGCGAAGATTGCTCTATCCAATTATTTTAATACATATAATATTCTTAAATATAACTTAGTTTAAACTTAAATATCAATTAAATTAAGATTATTAATTCTCATAAAATATAATTTAGAAATTATAATCTTGAAACGTTGACACTTTTAGTTTGGGAATGGATGAAAGTCCTCAATATGTAATTTTTAATAATGTTGGGGTATCAGAGTGATATAAACTCTAGGATAAGTTATTTGTGTGAAAAGTCTTAGAAGCCATATAAGTTAATTTTTTTTAAGTTTGACTGCATTAATGACAAACTAATATCGTTTTCCCGTCATGCCCAAATTTTCTTAATGTAAATCTTAAAATGAAGAGAAGAATAGTTGGGGTGGCCAGTCAAAAAGGAAGGCAAAAATAAATATTATAATTTATTTTTGCCTTCCTTTTTGACTGACCACCCCAACTATTTTTCTCTTCATTATCCACGACAGTCAACCAATTACCAATTCTAAATCTTAAAAGTATATTTGTAATTAGTTCAGTCAAGTTAGGATCCTTTTGGAGACATTCAAGTTGTAGAGCCGTTCTTTATAACGGGGAGCTTCAGCCCGAAATATTTTTTTTCATATACATATAACGGTAATTAATTTGAAAAAAAAAATATAAAGGAATCAACTACCTATATAAAATGGTGTTTAAGTGGTTCTTGAAGTCCTTGGTATAAGTGGTGATTGAAGTCATAGGTTTAAGTGGTTCTTGGTCTTCCAACAGTCAGACGGTCTTGGTCTTGGTCGTGCAAAGAGGTCTTGGTCTTGGTCGTGCAAGTTAGGTCTAGCCCATTTTAAGCTATTCTCTGACAAAGTTTGTTGTAAATAATTTTTCGAAGACATTTTATTTTTCTTACTTTAAAATCCAACAGATTCATTCATGCTCTATAGCATTTATGTCCGGAGATTGTGGTAGAGTTTCCCATGGACAATGTACAGCATCCGTTCTTTTGTTTTATTTGCTGTGTGCCTGACGTCATTGTCCTGTCGGAAGATGAATGCTTCTTTGATCCTCATATTTTCGGCTCTGCTTGTTAAATTATGCCGCAAAATGTCGACATATTGGTTGGCATTCATAATATTGTCAATAAAGGTTAAGTTTCCAACACCATTGCATGACGTACCCTTCCAAATCTGGGCACTTCCACCTCGGTGTTTTATAAGAGGCTTCACACGTTCAAGTTTGAAACTCAGTTTCAAGTTTCCGCCGAACGAACTTGTGGCTATTAGAACGGAATATGTTAAATTTACTTTCATCTGAAGAAATAAAATTTTTCCGGAATTCGAAGTCTTTATTACCTTACCTTAAGTTTTGGCCAACTCAGATCTTCTTTTGCGATTCACCTGTATAATAAGTTTTTTTCCTTTGAAACCTGACATAATAATATATATGAATTATATTTCTAACAGAAGGTGGTATTTGAAGTAGATGCGCCTATTTTTGATTTATTCGTTTCTAATCTCTCGTAAGAAAAATGAGTTATTTGTTTTGACTGGAGTTCCTAGTAAACATGTAAAACTGCGCCAATACCTTTTTTATTTTAAACATAGCTTTTGAATTCTGAAAATGAATTGCTTTTAAAATATAATACTCAAAGATGACTTTGTTATATAAACATTATTTCTGGAAAATATCTTAACCCTATTGAGGTTTACAAAAAATTGGAGTGTGCCATTACTTTTTTGACCCACTGTAGCGGAGAGACTGCATGTGGCTTACAAAAACAAATGGAGTACCGAAGTTTTTATTCTCTAACGTTGATGTAATTAATAAGGTTTTGTTATTATAATAGTCTTATTGTTTTGTTATCTGTAAGCCTTAAGCTGTAGCTTCGTTAAAAATGCACTTCAGAAATTTTATAATAGCCCAACTTTGCCAGAAAATAATTTCTATTCAAAGTATAGCGGCAAGTGAAAGTAGTGTGTTGCGCCAGATTTTTTGTTTTGTACTGCAACTTTTACATTGGTTTTAGTAATATATTTGTTTATTTATTTTTTCTGTTTTGGTTTTATTTTGGGACAGTAACGTATCATTTCTTTCTTTCATTTATGTATTCAAATGCCGCTTTTTAAATTTAATATTACAGAATTGTTTTTGTTTATAGTAACTTATCATTATTTTATTATTAAGCAAATGTAAAGTTGATTTTTTTCTTTATTAGTATGTGTAAATATGGAAAATAAATGCTTAGTCCAGGTATTGCTTTGTTTCAATTTTATACAGTTCATTATTCTTATGATATAATTCTTTTTTTCACACTTCTTAATTAAGCTTCTTTTTAAGTTTTCAACTAAAATATTGATGGAGATTAACGGTTGTGCTGTCAACGTAATAAAAATCAGGCGGTGTTGGTTTTTGTTCTTTTTCTTCCATTTCCAGCGTATGTAGTAGCTCTTTGGGATGGTCACTATAAGGTTGGGTGTAGAAAAACGAATCATGTTAGATATCTCACTTATTTTCGTAAAGAAATGAGTTAGATGGTGTTAGAACTTTGTAAATGGCGAAACGGACAGTATACTGTAAATAATTGTAGAATTGAAGGAAGCTAGTCGACTGTTCTATACATCTATGGATGATTGATCGACTGTTACAAATGGATGATAAATATTCAGAATGCAGTCATAATACATTTGTTTATTTGTGCCAACGTTTCAACCCAAACATGTGGGTCATCTTCGGTGCGTGCTTCGAGCACTGAAGGCTTTCAAGTACTGGAAAGTCTTCAGTGCTCGAACCACGCCCCGAAGATGACCCACATGTTTGGGTTGAAACGTTGGCACAAATAAACAAATGTATTATGACTGAGTTCTGACTATTTATCACCCATGTTAATAATTGTAGTAATTTTTTAGTTATTTACTTATTTTATTTTTCAGGAGCGCGTCTTGCAACTGGGAGAAAAAAAGTATACGGAGGAATGAATGCTGATGATGACAGTAACAGTTTAGATTCTGATTCAGAGTTCTTTTTAGATGATGTTGATGGTGAAGATTCATCTATCCTTGGAAGTAATGATGATTTAAAAGGAATAGCTTCTGAATCGAAATCTGACCAAAGTGACGACGATTTCTGAAAATATTTTAGTTTGATGATGAAAATATATTATAGTTTCAAAATATATGTATTATATATATATATATATATATATATATATATATATATATATATATATATATATATATATATATATATAATATTTATCATATATAGTTTCGTAATTTTATTCATACTCATTGAGTTAGTTTATTTACCTTCAAGATAAGTTAGTTTCAGTCAGTATATTTGTGCATTGATCATACATAAAAAAATTAAAATCATCATATATATTTTAAAACCACCAAATTAGCCCAGTAACCTTGTCATGAAAAAAGGGGTCTTAGTTGCATCGAATGGGATAGAAGATTACTTTTATTTTTCTTATATGGGATGTGACTGAGATGCAAAATCCAAGTTTTCGACCTCGGAGAGGGGGAGATCACTTTTTACTAACAGAAGACTGAAATTATAATAAAAAAAAATTTAACAAACATTTACATCAGGTGCATACAAAAATTGTAAAATAAGACATATTTATCTGATACATATAATAATCTGCATTATAAGAGTTAATGAAGTAAACATTTATTAAATTTATTATTTTTAAGAAATAAATAAGGAAGATCCAAAACCTTTGAAAATAGGCCCAGAAACTGATGAAAACAACATTTGCTGGAAAAAATATGTCATATACAGATGAAGAGAGCAGTACTATAACCATACGATATGTGAGAACGGAATGAGGTGACCGGGGAGCGTATTTACAAACCCTATACGGATTCAGATACCCTTTCTGTACTCCCTTAGGCTTTGTGGTGGCCCTGGGAGCAGGCTCATTACTGAGTTTGTAATACAAACCCTGTACCTATCCACACACCTCAGCTCTGCCTGCCCGCTGGAGAATTTCAGTCGTTTAAAATTAATAATATACATATATTACTTATTGTTGATTAATGTTATATATATTTGTATATATAAACAACATTATTAATTTATTTTTAAATTAATTTTTTACTGACAAACAATAATGTCAGGCAGTGGCGGATCCAGGCATTTTCTCAGGGGGGGGGGCGCATCTTACTCCACACCTAACCCTCCCTCACCACTTCTTTGCTGAGTTTCGCCGCTCAAAAGTCCTCTTTAAATGGTTTGTACTCTAGGTACAACAGAGTACTAGGGTAGTCTGGGATGACATAATACTATTTAACATAACACAAGGATAAAACTCTAATCAACAACCAACATTAAGTAAATCGATATACAATTAAAGCTTATTAAACAAGGAAGTTTTTATTAAAGTGGGGTATCAATATGATGAAAATTTTTTTTTCAAAAACTATGAAAAACCTACTCAGCGTAGTTTGGCTGCTCAAAAGTCCACTTTGAAATGTTTTGACAAAGACAAACTGTATTTGTATTTGAAGAAAATTGTGTCTAGTTTACTACAAAGCAATTTTTACTTAATTGAATTAACAAATGTTTGAAACATCACTTATATACAACAAATGATTTTTTTTTTTTTTTTTGTGAAAATGCTGTGTTGTTTTAATATATTAACAAATAAAATATTATTTTTATAATGATTGCTATTTAATGTATACAAATTATTATTATTTTTTAATTATCCATACTTAGCACTTATTCCTCTTGCCTTTTTTGATAATATTGTATTTTATTAAAAAAATATCTAAAACAAAATTAATTATTTTGTTTATATTACATATAATATGTTATGCCAATCTTTATACCTATTTTTGTTTTCTAAGAAGAAAATTATTTAATTAGTGTCAATCAATATCATTAATATTTTTTTAAAAAAGTGCTCATTATTTTCTTATTTATTTTTGTAATTAGTATCAAGTGTCATAGCTACGACTGCAGTTCAATATTCATATCGTTCTGTCTTTGCTACATTCTCATCTGCTTATTATCTTAAATCGTGTTCTGAAATTTTGACAACAGTGTTTATAAACAGTTAAATATTTTTACGTTATAATTGTTGAGGTGAGTGACTTTTTGATAACAATTAGTAACTTTAAATTTATACTCGTTTGATAGAGAAAGTTTTAGCAGATAATTCCTCTCAGCGAGTCTTGTCTCTCAAGTTCACGGTTACGGCTTGGTTTTACGTCGGGCAATCTTGAGTTCGTACCTAAGACAGTGTATATAATTTTTTTTCTCTCTTGTATACATTTTTTACTTCTTCATTAATTTTTTACAAAGACTTTTATTTTATTTATTTACAGAAAATGTTTTATTTAACAATTGTATATTGTTTTGTAAATAGATTAGTTAGTAATTATTTATTTTGTATATTTTCTTATTCGTGATACTTTTTTTTTCTTCTCTTTTTTTTTTTTAATATATTATTTAGAGGCATGGAACATGATAGATTCTTGTGAAGAATAGGATGAGGGGACTCCCTCCTCCGAAATCAGTGAGACCGATTCTCAATATTTAACCAGGCGACAAAAGCCCAACAAAAACTCTGCCCCCGGGTCGGCGGACAACTCACCAAATAAAAAAAAAATCCGCTAAATCAAAGCAGTCACTTAAAAAAAAAACCAAAATAAACAAGCTCTAAAAATAATTTAGCTATGAAAGCTGAAACTAAACCGCCTACTAGCGCATCCAGCAACAATCCTGTTGTTGCCAATTATAAAAACAACGAGATTACTGAATCTCAGACTTTAACTGAACCAGAGCCACCACCGATATATGTAAGCAAAATTAACAACTCCATTCAGTTCGGTCAAGAAATAGCTAATCTGATCGGACAGACCAATTGCCGGTGTTTTTCTCGTATCAACGATATAAAAATCAATACCAACACCAAAGATGACTATAAAAAATTTATAAATCACTTGGCATCACACAATTACGACTTCCACTGCTATCAATTAAAAGAAGAAAAAACATATAGAATCGTTTTGAGAGGTCTTCACTCAACCACTCCCACTACCGCTATAAAAAAAAATCTCGAAGACATCTGCCACAATATAAGACACATATCTTCTGTTTTACATCCAATTGACAAACATCTTTATCGATTTAGAACCATCCCGGAATAATTCTGAAACCTTCGAAGTTAAAAGACTACTTTATTCTATAGTAAAATTTGAAGAACCGAAGCAGAAACCAATAGTAGTGCAATGCAAGAAGTGTCAAAACTTAGGCCATACAAAGGCCTACTGCCATCACTCGGCGCGGTGTTTCATAAGTGCCGGTTCTCAAGCCTTTGATACTTGCCAAAAAAAACATTAAATGAACCAGCAAAATGTGTCCTTTATGGTGAGGACGACCATGCAAGCTACCGGGGCTGCATTGCCTACAAGAAGTTATACAAGCAAAGGGCTTATAACATATTAAAAGCCCAATAACAGAAAAATCCTATCCGGGCACAGGCACCAGAACTCAAAAGTTTGGCAACGTTTCCTGAATTGCCGAACGAAACAGCACCACGATTTACACAACAACCTTCTAGATCAACAAATCATCCCCATCACGACTCCAGGCAACTATATTCTGACCCCACAGTGAAGAATCAGCAGCCGCGACTTCAGACGCCTCTGTCTTCCAGACCTCCCACATGCACTCAAAATCACCAAGTCAACCAATGTCTTCTAATCAGTTGCCTCTACGTGTCAAACTACCGCCTGAAGATCCAACTCCAGTTCATTCCAATTCTACTCCTCACATTAACTCTTCTTCCTAAATTTCATCTAATTATGATTCAGCCTCTCGTACATCACGACGGCTACATCATACATCAGACACTCCTTATCATAAAAATAAAAGTATAATACTCTATATACTTACTCAATTTATATATTCACTAGAGCTTTCTATGATCCTTTCCACCCACTGTAGAACAGTTCACAAGAATCTACTCTGTATAAAAGTTAATGAAATGTCCCACTCCTAACCTCGCTATTTACAATAAAATAAGCCATAACAACAAAACACATAAAAAAATAAAATAAAATAACTAAAAAATATTGAACGATAATAAACACAGAAAACTAGATATTAGATAATCAGATTAGCACAAACGTGATACCACTATTTGATCTGTGATAACCTATCCCCGTATGACTTCAATTTCTAATAGTTACTCCATCCTCTCTCCAATGAATCCTACCTATTACCCAACCTCCCTCCAAAAACGACCTGATATCCTGGACATATTTGTCACATCTCAGATTTTCTCTTCCTATATCACTATCAAATCCCTGGACGACCTCTCCTCAGACCATACTCCAGTTCTGCTAACATTACACTCAACCTTCGTTCCTAAGCCCTCCTCTTCTCCTACACTCATAACAGGACGAGTAAACTGGGACAAATTTCGTAAAGACTTGGAAAATAAATTGGACCTAAATATTCCACTTAAGACGAAACATGACATTGACTCAGCCATAGAAGTACTTACTACATCTATAAGCGACAAAATTAACGATAACACATCAACCAATAAAAACAACAACTCCCAACAGACTAACATGCCACAGCACATTCGTATCTTATTAAGGGAAAAACGCAGAGCAAGATCAAAGTGGCATAGGACTAGATAAACATCAGATAATTCATATTAAAACTTAACTAATCTACTAAAAGCTGAAATTAGAAAATAAAAAATTGACTTAACCTAACAGAAAATCTTACAACTACTGACAAATCACTATGGTTGATCACTAAAAAGCTATTCAAAGTCAAAGATTTTAACCACCCACTTATTACTGAAACCCAAACCAGGTCCAGATCTGACGAAGAAAAATTTCAAATATTTGCTCAGCACCTTTTCAAAATATTAAATCCACACTCAGATATCTTAAATCCAATCCACCTTGAGTGTATTGAAACAGAACTCGATATCACACTCCAATTGATCCCACCACCTAAATCATTTCATCCTTCAGAAATATCCTATACACATATCATATATCATACACAGATTACCTTCCCACAAAGTTCCTGGCCAGGACCTAATCACATCCCAGATGCTATATATATAATGCTGTACTCCGAACCACATAT